GGGGGGTCGTACCCGCTCCCCGCCCCCTCGGCCGGCGCGTATGTAGAAAACCTATAGATCCGGGCCGTCGAGTGTTAAACTGGCCTCTGAGGGCCCAGACCGACCTCTAAAAGTCCCACACCGGCCTCTGACAGTCAATCAGCCCAGTTGCAGTGGTCGCTGATATAAGACCTCTAAAAACGTTAAAGGTCTGGCTGAGCCTAGCTGGGCCGTTCATGCTGATTTTTATAGGTATATTGAAAAGACTCGCTTTGCACGTTTCACGCTTGCTCGTAATGAAAAGTTGCTGGATGCCTCTGGAATTTGTATGGGTGCCAACGGCTGCGGAGGACAGGGGAACGCGTCCATCAGTTTGAGTTTATGGACGGGAGTCTCCCTGAAATTTTAACCAATTTTGTTTTTGTTTTTGTCTCGATTTTTTTTTTTATCTCTGAGCATGTTTGCGAAAACAAAGTGGCCGAAATCCGAGGAGAAATGGGATTTTGGGGGTAGGTTAGGTTTTGGACCTCTGGGACCCTGGCCCCCCCACTTTCGAAAACGTTCCTACGCCTATGCCTGAAAAGCTCAGCTTGATTAATTTACATGTACACTGTTCTGAGAAATGACACGTAGGTATACCAAGCTATAGTGAGTAGTAAATGCTATCAGAAAATTATGGGTACTGGATAAGCATATTACCCATAATACCTATATCAGCACAACCAATCCTACCTTTAAAATCACATTCTCACACAAATCAAACCAAGGCCCTATATCAATATAGGTACCAAATCACAAAAATAACAACACGCGAGTCATAGGAGACAAGTCATGAGCCTTGGCCTTTTGACGTCTAAAACACTGCCATCGCCGCACCAACAAGTTCGCTCCCCGCCCGGCTCCCTTCATAATGCAACCGGGCGCAAACTTGTTCTGGATTCTCGCAGACTATATTTGGTGTTTCCGTGGTGGCAGACTATCCCCTGGTAAAAGTTCCCAATTGCAGTAAAGTACGAAAAAATGATATGAGTAGATGTAAAAAAGATTTTTCTTTTCAAAAATGTCAAAATTTAGCAATTTTATAACGTGTGCTGCCCATATTTTACGATAGTCTGCGGGGTCGTTCCGGGCCTGCTAAGGTCAGCTTCACTTGGATCGTTTAAGACACCTAGACATCATTCATTACAAAACAAGGTATGGCTAGAATGGAAATTGATTGCAAAAAGTTATAGAATAGTTTTTGTTTCGTAAAAATGAGCAAAAAATGCGTATGGGGATAATAAGTGACAGCGTCTTTTGAGGTATCACCTTTTTGGTGCCGGCATAAGAGAACTTGGACGAATTTATGGCAAAATCTTTTTGAATAATATTAAAATGAACAAAATAAAGAGTTATTGTCTTTTTGATGCCTTTTTCCCATCTGAATTACACAAAAAATGATTTTTTTATTTTACTCGAACTCATGGCAGTAAGATATCTTTACTTGTAATAAATCGACCGAAGGCATTATTTTGAGCTGCATATGGTTCATTAAATTTTGTATTAAAATAAATTGAACATCAAAATCGTTTTTGTCATTCGGCAATGAACTTAACCAGCAACAAATACATTTTTTTAAAAATAAATACATTCTCAGACTAGGCAACGCTGTCTCGCGCGTCTCGCGCGCTTTTACGCAACCGCGCCGGGTTAGTCTCGAGATTTGCGTGTTATTGAAAAGAAGTATAATTTCGTGGGGTAATTTAAGAGTTAAATGTTCATGTGCAATTTTTCTCGTTTTTTCATACTAAACAATATGATTTTTGTTTAAAGGCTGAGATACTGAGACTCATTCGACTTCGACCATCTTCGTTCAAGGAATCTGAGGTGGGATTGTTCATGTCAATTTTTGTAACAAGCTCAGGTAATGGTAATACTTAACATAAACCATGTGTTTTGTCTTAACTTCTCTCCTTCTTGATTATACCTTCACTTCTACTTAGGCTAAGAAACTGATATTCAAGGGTAGCTGCTATCACACTAGTAGCCTTCTGGTGGGTTCAGATTGTTTTCTTCCATTTAGTTATGATATGTTCTTGGATTTCCCTTGTTTAAATTAGGCAAATGTGAGTATTAATATTTATATAGGTATGCATCATTATACTTGAGCAATGGCAATGTAGCCTACCTGCTTATTAAGTAGATACGAGATTGCATGGGTATTCATTAAGCAGGCGTCTCACGAGATGCCAGATTTGAAACATAATCTAACCTGACCTAACCTTGCCTACTAACCTACAACCTACAAGCCTAACACCTACAACCTACAACCTACAATCTACAAACCTACAACCTACAAACCTACAACCTACATTGCTATCGTAGACAGATCTGGCATCTCGTGAGATGCCTGCTTAATGATAACCATTGCATGTTGGTCATGTGCAAGTGTTTCACTTTGATATATGCTGCATTTCAACAATGTCTGCCCATTATGCTAAAAAGAAACTGATATAATGCGGTAGCTGCGTTAAAAATTTGGAACCATAGTTGAGTTCCAACTTTGTTCTGCGACCTTTTCAAAATTTTAGTCTGCGAACTTAGATCCCCAAACCACTTTTCTGACACTGATCCAGATACACAGTGAAACCCTGTGGGGTACAGTCAGACCCTGTGGGATACAGCCAGACCCTGTGGGGTACAGTCAAACCAATCACCACATGGTGCGCCGATTCAGGCGGTTCTGTAACAGCTCAAAACCTTTCTCCTAAACTTTGTACTGCAAGAACCATCTGGGTCAGACGAACCCTCGGGTAGTCAACGCCAGGGTAAAATTTCTTTTCGACGATCTCGGCCGGGCCTATGTTGTCTGTCAGAGAGATGTCCATATGATGTCATAGATACTTGCACACATTACATTCGCCAGTGATCCCATAACGACAGAGACGCTCTGACAGTGGAGCAGGGGATCTGCTGCAGGGAGCCAGCCCCTGCGTGTCCACCGGCGGCGGCGGGGCGGCCCCACCAGACAGACAGAAAATGGCGTCATCAACCGGTCAGCGAGACACACAGTCACGGCGGCAACGGTAGTTTGGCTATGGCCGACAGAGGGCAGCAAAGGCAACAGCTACGGCCGATAGCAATAGAGGGCAGCGGCAGCCACAGACATTCAGGGCGGACAGGACAGTAGAGGTCACAGCCAGGGCGGACAGGACAGTAGAGGTCACAGCCAGGGCGGACAGGACAGTAGAGGTCACAGCCAGGGCGGACAGGACAGTAGAGGTCACAGCCAGGGCGGACAGGACAGTAGTGGCCACAGCCAGGGCAGACAGGACAGTAGAGGTCACAGCCAGGGCAGACAGGACAGTAGAGGTCACAGCCAGGGCGGACATGACAGTAGAGGTCACAGCCAGGGCGGACAGGACAGTAGAGGTCACAGCCAGGGCGGACAGGACAGTAGTGGCCACAGCCAGGGCGGCCAGGACAGTAGAGGTCACAGCCAGGGCGGACAGGACAGTAGAGGTCACAGCCAGGGCGCACAGGACAGTAGAGGTCACAGCCAGGGCGGCCAGGACAGTAGAGGTCACAGCCAGGGCGGACAGGACAGTAGAGGTCACAGCCAGGGCGGACAGGACAGCAGAGGTAACAGCCAGGGCGGACAGGACAGCAGAGGTTACAGCCAGGGCAGACAGGACAGTAGAGGTCACAGCCAGGGCGGACAGGACAGTAGAGGTCACAGCCAGGGCGGACAGGACAGTAGAGGTCACAGCCAGGGCAGACAGGACAGTAGAGGTCACAGCCAGGGCGGACATGACAGTAGAGGTCACAGCCAGGGCGGCCAGGACAGTAGAGGTCACAGCCAGGGCGGACAGGACAGTAGTGGCCACAGCCAGGGCGGCCAGGACAGTAGAGGTCACAGCCAGGGCGGACAGGACAGTAGAGGTCACAGCCAGGGCGCACAGGACAGTAGAGGTCACAGCCAGGGCGGCCAGGACAGTAGAGGTCACAGCCAGGGCGGACAGGACAGTAGAGGTCACAGCCAGGGCGGACAGGACAGCAGAGGTCACAGCCAGGGCGGACAGGACAGCAGAGGTTACAGCCAGGGCAGACAGGACAGTAGAGGTCACAGCCAGGGCGGACAGGACAGTAGAGGTCACAGCCAGGGCGGACAGGACAGCAGAGGTCACAGCCAGGGCGGACAGGACAGCAGAGGTCACAGCCAGGGCAGACAGGACAGTAGAGGTCACAGCCAGGGCGGACAGGACAGTAGAGGTCACAGCCAGGGCGCACAGGACAGTAGAGGTCACAGCCAGGGCGGCCAGGACAGTAGAGGTCACAGCCAGGGCGGACAGGACAGTAGAGGTCACAGCCAGGGCGGACAGGACAGCAGAGGTCACAGCCAGGGCGGACAGGACAGCAGAGGTTACAGCCAGGGCAGACAGGACAGTAGAGGTCACAGCCAGGGCGGACAGGACAGTAGAGGTCACAGCCAGGGCGGACAGGACAGCAGAGGTCACAGCCAGGGCGGACAGGACAGCAGAGGCCACAGCCAGGGCAGACAGGACAGTAGAGGTCACAGCCAGGGCGGACAGGACAGTAGAGGTCACAGCCTGGGCAGACAGGACAGTAGAGGTCACAGCCAGGGCGGTCACAGGACAGTAGAGGTCACAGCCAGGGCGGACAGACGCGTACTGGTAGGGATGCCGACAAAATGTTCGCATTGCAAACGTTCGTAAGCCAGAGGTACTGCTGCGGATGCACGAAGGCAAAGGTATCAAGTACGCATCGCAAACGTCCATAGGACACCTATCAAGTCTGAAGTCCGTGTAGTCAAAAGCACGGAGGTAAGGCAAGGTTCGGTTGGGTTAGGTCTAGGTGGGCATTGGACAAATTGGTCAGCAAATTGTAAGGTAAGTTATTACTTATCTTTACGTGTTTTATGGTTTACGTGGCTTCCCGTAGGAACATTTATGTACGTACTTTTGTCACACGTGCTTTTGCAACACCTAAATATTTTAGCCAGAAACCGTGCTGTCGCTTACCTTACATGTGACTGCCAGTGTCTGTATGACGGGGTTTCCCAGACTCTGGCAGCCGGCCAGGCTCACACGGCGCATGCGCGGGCTGGCGGCGATGATTGGTCGGACGGTGGAATCTTCTGTCCATTTACACTGGGACAGGTCCAGCTCTGCCAGGCCGCCGGCGTGGTCCGACAGCACCTGTACAAACGACGGCGTGTGGAATCAACACTGGCTCACTGAGTTACTGAGCCCGTCGAATGGCACACGGAATCAATATTAACAGCTGGGGAACAGGGGGAATGAGTTCTCCAAGGTGATGGGATAACACCTGTTGAACGCCACAGGGAGTCAATAAACCCTGCTGAAACACCAAACAATGCGGCAATGATCGATTAGGGTTGAGGGAATGTTAGAGACATTACAACAGCAATACACTAGGATATGCACAGGCTTTGCGTCTACATAGTCCATAGTCGCATAAAGTGACATAAACTGTGAACCCAGACGCAGACAGGATACCAAACACATCCCGTTCTGTCCTACTCCAGTCACCTCTGGTGTCCCAGGCGTGGCCGCCCCTCCCGCCACCCTGGCTGTGCCACTATATCCCGGCTGTCTTATCCCACCCTGACTGTCCCAGGCGTGGCCGCCCCTCCCGCCACCCTGGCTGTGCCACTGTATCCCGGCTGTCTTATCCCACCCCGACTGTCCCAGACGTGGCCGCCCCTCCCGCCACCCTGGCTGTGCCACTATATCCCGGCTGTCTTATCCCACCCTGACTGTCCCAGGCGTGGCCGCCCCTCCCGCCACCCTGGCTGTGCCACTGTATCCCGGCTGTCTTATCCCACCCTGACTGTCCCAGACGTGGCCGCCCCTCCCGCCACCCTGGCTGTGCCACTATATCCCGGCTGTCTTATCCCACCCTGACTGTCCCAGACGTGGCCGCCCCTCCCGCCACCCTGGCTGTGCCACTATATCCCGGCTGTCTTATCCCACCCTGACTGTCCCAGGCGCGGCCGCCCCTCCCGCCACCCTGGCTGTGCCACTATATCCCGGCTGTCTTATCCCACCCCGACTGTCCCAGACGTGGCCGCCCCTCCCGCCACCCTGGCTGTGCCACTATATCCCGGCTGTCTTATCCCACCCTGACTGTCCCAGGCGCGGCCGCCCCTCCCGCCACCCTGGCTGTGCCACTATATCCCGGCTGTCTTATCCCACCCTGACTGTCCCAGGCGCGGCCGCCCCTCCCGCCACCCTGGCTGTGCCACTATATCCCGGCTGTCTTATCCCACCCTGACTGTCCCAGGCGCGGCCGCCCCTCCCGCCACCCTGGCTGTGCCACTATATCCCGGCTGTCTTATCCCACCCTGACTGTCCCAGGCGTGGCCGCCCCTCCCGCCACCCTGGCTGTGCCACTATATCCCGGCTGTCTTATCCCACCCTGACTGTCCCAGACGTGGCCGCCCCTCCCGCCACCCTGGCTGTGCCACTATATCCCGGCTGTCTTATCCCACCCTGACTGTCCCAGGCGCGGCCGCCCCTCCCGCCACCCTGGCTGTGCCACTATATCCCGGCTGTCTTATCCCACCCTGACTGTCCCAGGCGTGGCCGCCCCTCCCGCCACCCTGGCTGTGCCACTATATCCCGGCTGTCTTATCCCACCCTGACTGTCCCAGACGTGGCCGCCCCTCCCGCCACCCTGGCTGTGCCACTATATCCCGGCTGTCTTATCCCACCCTGACTGTCCCAGGCGCGGCCGCCCCTCCCGCCACCCTGGCTGTGCCACTATATCCCGGCTGTCTTATCCCACCCTGACTGTCCCAGGCGCGGCCGCCCCTCCCGCCACCCTGGCTGTGCCACTATATCCCGGCTGTCTTATCCCACCCTGACTGTCCCAGGCGCGGCCGCCCCTCCCGCCACCCTGGCTGTGCCACTATATCCCGGCTGTCTTATCCCACCCTGACTGTCCCAGGCGCGGCCGCCCCTCCCGCCACCCTGGCTGTGCCACTATATCCCGGCTGTCTTATCCCACCCTGACTGTCCCAGACGTGGCTACCCCTCCCGCCACCCTGGCTGTGCCACTGTATCCCGGCTGTCTTATCCCACCCTGACTGTCCCAGGCTGTCCCATTTTCATCCCCCTGTCCTGCCTATCTAGCATAACCCCATGTCTGTTCCACCTGTCATTCAAACTGTCCCCCTTGTTTCAACTATTCCAGCTACTCCATATGGATAAAGCTGTACCCACAACTGTACCACAGTCCCCAATCTAAGGTGGCTCCCACCTGTCCATGTTGTCACCCAGCCTGTCCCACTCCCATCCCAAATGTCCCCTCACCCATCCCACCTGTCCCACACCAATGCTATGGTTCGCATCTGTCACCCACATATTCCACCTGTCATTCCATCTGACCTTCATGTGTCCCTCTGTCTCCATCCTATCACTCCTGTCCCAAATATCCCTCTGCCTCCATCCTATCCCTCCTGTCCCAAATGTTTCCATCCTGTCCCAAATGTCCCTCCTGTCCCAAATGTCCCTCCTGTCCCAAATGTCCCTCCTGTCCCAAATGTGCCTCCTATCCCAAATGTCCCTCTGTCTCCTTCTGTCTCCAATGTCCCTCCTGTCCCAAAATGTCCCTCTTGTCCCTCCTGTCCCTGTCCCAAATGTCCTTCCTGCCATCTGATGTCCTTCCCATGCAATGCAATTTCCTGACCCACCAGGGCAGGATTCCCTGCAGTTGTCCCCATGTTTCCCCACCTTTCACCAGGATTCCCTGCAGTTGTCCCTCATCATTCCCCACCTTTCACCCTAGCCTCCCCATCTGACACAAGTGACACAACAGCTCTCCTGCCTGTCATTTGGATTCCATTGATAATTTACATAACACCTGCATGTATCAACCATCACCTGACATGTCCCTCACCTCTCACCTGTCCCAAAATGTCCTCCCACCTGTCCCAAAATGCCCTCCCACCTGTCCCACAATGTCCTCCCACCTGTCCCAAAATGTGCTCCCACCTGTCCCACAATGCCCTCCCACCTGTCCCACAATATCCTCCCACCTGTCCCACAATGCCCTCCCACCTGTCCCAAAATGTCCTCCCACCTGTCCCAAAATGTCCTCCCACCTGTCCCAAAATGTCCTCCCACCTGGATGGCCTCCCGAGTGATGCAGTTGTTGCCGGCCAGGTCGAGGACCCTCAGCCGGCCCAGGTAGCGGTCCACGGCGTCCCTGAGGTCGCGGCACGTCCCACGCAGCAGGAACAGACTCTGCACGGACAGACAGCTGAGGACATGGGGGAAGAGGACGTCCTCCTGAGGCAAGGCCAGGAGGTGCATAGCTGGGGTGCTCAGGATGGGCAGGGGGACGGGACAGACAACAGTCACCACCTCAACCTGGACAAGGTAGACACAGGTTTCAGTTTGGGATGGTGTCTCAGTCTTGAGCTGCAGGATCTCAATCTTCTGAACTGCAAAATTCCTGAATTTCCAGAATAATATGAAGTCTGTGCTGTTGCCTTGGAGCTGCTAGATGTGTAACTCTTCGCTCTTGGGATCTTATAGGTACCTAACTCCCAAAATCTGCAATCAGAGGCAACAGTACAGGAAGCAGTAGTCAGTAGAAAACATTGATAAGGGCTGTGTTGATTAATTCCATGCATGCCTCACCAACTAGCCCCTATGTCTTTGACTCTCACAAATTTTACTCCTTACTCTATCAACTCAGTTGGGGAAATTGAGCTCAATACCAGTTACATGGCCTTCTCTATCATAAATCAACAATCGGCTCATTGCAATTGATCATTGGTAAATAAAAACACTAATTGTTTCCATCATTACATAATTTAGTGGCCGTACCTGTGAAATACTTTGAAACTAATGCGCCAATTCTATCTCTTTTGTGTAACCCTATTCATTTGTACTATCAACTGCATTTTATTAAGAAAAATAGCGAATCCAAACTGAAAACGCAGCTGTTCGCGAATCAAAAATGAAGTGGCTTCGAAGAACTAATCTGACCGCATTTGAACTGAACATGTCGTTGGGAATTCGATAACAATTTTGTTCCGTGTACTTTTGCATTGCTTTTGCATCAGCGCTTCATTGCACTTGCAACAATTTGTGTGCATTCAATGTTTGTAAATTAGTTCAAGAACTTCTGAATTTGAATAAGCCTGTAGTTTACTGGGGATTCAATCCATACGTAATGGTCTGCTACCTACACTGTCAACATTGAGCTGTGAAATTTGATTTTACAGATTGCGGAAGTTTAAGTGCAGACTGCAGGTGAGCTGTGAAACTTTAATAAAATTCATTTACCTGATACCTGATACCTGATATTTGGGGATCATTGAAGGCACTAGGATTGCCCGGTGGATCCGTCGTAGAGAGCTCGGGTAGCGTCAACAGTCTTCACTGGTGTGGAACGACGAAGGCATAATTCCTCCAGTGTTTGTCCAGCCGGTTCTTGAAAACATTGGTCGATGGCGAGCAGGCGATTTCCTCTGGTAGAGCGTTCCAGTCTGACACAACCCGGGTGGTGAAGTGGTTGCGCCGGACACGGCTGACTGCTGGCTTCTTGGCGACCTTCAGTCGGTGACACATCCCGTGGAATCTGAAAATAGGGCAGCAAAGGGCATATTTAGGTATTATTATAGCAGGCGTCTCACATGCTGCCACCATTCGTGAAAAGTCGCTAGACTCTCCTGCTCTTGAGAAATTTCCTCAAATTTCGCTATTAAAGGAAAAGGGCCACCTTCGTGAAATATGAAGATATCGTTGTTTTTCATTTTGACATTATTATTTTTCATTTTCTTTTTAAAACTGGTGCCAGAAGTGCACAATTCGCGAAAAAGTATTTAAAACTATTTAACATATTGGTACTATGTTGATACTCTCTACGGCACCTACTGTATGATGGCATAGCGATGACGTCACACTCAAGCCAATCAGCGTTCAGAAGACAGACTCGTCGGATTGTGTCAGATAAGCTGATTGGTTAAAGCTGAGCTGGTTGGAGCTGATTGGTAAAAAACCAAAGCCTCGCCGCGGGTGGCTTTATTGTCGGATAAGAACGCATTCCTGGGATAAGGACGCATTCCTGGCGTATTTTCTTTTAAAATTGCCGATAACTACGAATGGAGGCCGAAATCGGCCGTGAGGAGGAAGACAGGTAGGTTTTCGGACACGGGCTACAAGATGGCTATCTCAGTTTCAATCCCCATGTTAAAGGTGGCCCTTTTCCTTTAAGATCTCTAAACATAACCTAACCTGACCTAACCTGACCTACAACCTACAAACCTACAACCTACAAACCTACAACCTACAACCTACAACCTACAAACCTACGACCTACAAACCTACAACTTAAAGAGAAATTCATGTAAATATCTCAAGAAATGAAGAGTCTAGAGACTTTTCATAAAAGGGTGGCAGCATGTGAGACGCCTGCTATAAGAATGCCCATATTTATTCACGTGACTGCAAAGAAATTGTCCACTATCTATCCACACCTGTAGTGTTGAGCCTCAAGCTCCACATCACTTAATGGCTGCGCTGTAGCTCCTATGAAGTGATTCTTCGCACCACAGAGAGCGCACGTCTTACCCCTAGCCGGACAGCGGCCCGGCGGGTGCGGTCGGTAGTGCGGTGGGCAGTTCTTACACCTGACACGTGGGCCAGCACCTCAGCCTCCCTGACCACTGGGTGTTGTCGTTGGCTGTTTGATGCTGTGGCGCCCTCTGGTGGCTACCCGTGCCATAGACTCTCCCACTTCTGACTGAATTGCGTCGCTGGATTTCCTGGCCTTGTCATATCCCAAGGCCGACTTGATGAGCGTCTGCAAGTCGGGGTCTCTGGCCAGGGCTTCTTGTCTCAGGCACTTGTCTGACGTACCAAAGATGAAGGCTTCTTTCTTGGCTCGCTCTGGAGTGTGTTGTTATGAGGTGAGGTCACTTGTTATGAGGTGAGGTCACTTGACATGGTCTATTGACCTGACCTTCATTGACCTTGGTCTGAAATTTTAGCATATATGCTGAACAGATGTATGGTAAGGTGTGCTCAAAGCGGCAGCGCCGAGTTTTGAAACATTCACGAAAACCACGGACTCAACACCCACCCCGCCCCCTCCTCCCCCAGTAGTGCGTGGGTTAACGCTGTGCCAGCCAGCATCCCAGGCCGTGGGTGGGATGTCGTCGTCGATCCTGCCCTGGTGATCTCTTGAGAGGCGAGCTGCGGTCTGTAGACTGTATTGGAGTGAGTCCGAAAGCACACTGACCCCACCATGCCAGTAACACACGACATCGACCTCACACACACACATACAACGAACAACCAATCAGGTGCCACTTACACCTGATCACGTGATCGGCCTGCCCCGCGGCGGCAGGCCGGACGGCCCGGCCGCGGCCCGCACGGCTCGGCTGCGGCCCGCACCGCGACCCGACAGGGGCAGGATACTGTGCCGCCGCACCGACTGGGCCAGCTCACAACATCTCCTCCCTCTTCAGGACTGCCGGCGAGGCAGTCCCATCAGTGGTCGTCGAAGCCCAGGCGGTTTGGCGGCCGTCTCTGACGACCGCCTCTGCGCAGAACCGACTCCGGTTGCAGCTGAAACCGGACTCGGCGTCGCGGTGCAGTGGCCTGTTCCTCTGATGGCGTCCTCAGTGGTCCTCCGCGACTCTGGTGGTCTGCTGACGGCGTTCCAGCCGCCTCCAGTGGCGGCTGGAGCGATGACCGGATGAAACGCCTGTTACGCCAGAGGACTCTGCCGCTCGGAGTTTTGACCAAGTAGTCCCTGTGGTCCCCGACACCGACGATGGTACCGAGCTTGTCCCAGCGTCTGCTGATCGGATCTTGTATCCTGACGTGCACCCCAATCTTCATCGATGGCAACGTATGTGCCGAAGAGTTGTAGTGTCTCTGTGCCTTGTTGAGGACTTTGGCCGCTTTGGAGTCACACTCGTCGGCATGCTGCTGCCACTGAGCAGCAAATGTGCTGTGATGAGCCGGAACTCAGGAGCGAATAGGGTGACCGAAGACCATCTGTGCTGGCGAGCGTCCATCGGCTCGAGACGTGTTCCTCAGTTCTAGTAGTCCTCGATAGAACATGTCATTGAACGAGCCACCCTCAGTTGTCTTGGAGACCAGGTGCTTTAGCAGTTTCACTGCTGACTCCGCGTGACCGTTGGACTGGGGCTAGTAGGGAGTCGAGATGACATGTTGCACACCCCATCGTTTGAGGAAGTTGGCTACTTCTCGGCTCTTGTACTGAGGACCACCGTCTGTTCGCAGCCTGACGGGAACCCCCAGCGAGACGAAGGCTTCTCGGAGAGCCTTGATGATTTGATGGCTTGTCGTGTCGCCCCGTGGGAGTTGATGGATGATCGGCCAGCCAGAAAGCCTGTCTACGTAGACGAAGTAGTCTCTGTCAGCATGGGAGAAGAGGTCGGACGAGACATCCTCGAAAATCCTTGATGGGAGAGGTTCAGTTGCCATCGGCTCTTGAGGAAGACTGGGCCGGCGTTCTTGACAGGCGGCGCAGTTGCCGACTGTGTTGACGATGTCGCTGGTTATGCCAGGCCACCAGACTGTTTGGCGAGCTCGTCTCTTGGAGCGCTCGATGCCCTGGTGAGCATCGTGGAGAGCCTCGAGGGTACTCTTCCGAGAGGCGTTGGGGATGAGGATGCGACAACCTTTCAGGACCAGTCCATCATGCGAGGAAAGTTCGTGGCGAACATTCCTAAAAGGAAGGAGAGGGCGGGGAAGCATGTCTTTCGAAGAAGGGAAGCCCTGAGAGACAGCGAGCAGGAGCTGCTGGTAGACTTCATCTTGCTGTGCTGTCCTTCTCAGCTCGTCGAGTCGAGGGTCTGGGAGATGTGGAGGCTGGCTGGAGACCTCACTGATGACAGCGATAGACATGCAGTGGACGTGGTGCTCTATAGAGTGGATGAGCAGTCGATCTTCAGGCGTTGGTTCTTCAACAGGAGCACGTGACAGCGCATCGGGAATGACGTGCTCCTTTCCTCTTTGCCACACTGCTGTGAAGTTGTAGAGACTGGTCTTCTCTTTCAGCCGTTGTAGCCTCGGGTTCTCGACTACGTCCAGGGTGTAGTCGTTCATGATCGTTATCAGTGGCCGATGGTCAGTGACGACAGTGAAGTGTGGCAGCCCCCGCAAGAAGATGTGACACTTCTTGAGGGCCCACACCACCGCCAGCAGCTCCAGTTCCACCATGGCATATCGAGACTCTGTATCCGAAATGAACCTGGAACCGCATTGGACCAGACGCCAGTGGTCACCATGCTGCTGGAGAAGGGCATACCCAAGTCCCTTCAATCGAGCAGCATCAGTTTGCAGGACAGTTGGAAGTAGCGGGTCGTAATGAGCCAGAACGGGCGGTGATGAAAGCGCCTTCTTGACGTTGTTGAATGCCACTTGGTGATCTGGTGTCCATACGAACGCGTTGCTCGGCTTCAGGAGGCCCCGAAGTGCATCAGCTGCCGAGGAGATTTCGCTGGAGAAGTCGCCGAACTGCTGCACCAGACCCATGAACGATCTCAGCTCCGTGATGTTAGTGGGGCTGGGAAAGATCGCTGTGACTTGCCCAGGGTCGACTTCTCTTCCAGCAGATGACAGTTTGAAGCCACAGTACTGGACTTCCTCCATCGCACAACAAAACTTCTTTTCGTTGAGAGTGATGTTGTGCCGTCGACACTTGCCCAGGACAGCACGTAGACGGTTTGCGTGCTCTTCAAACGTCTCGTCGTACACGAGGATGTCATCCACCACCTTAACGATGTGATCCAGTCCTTGAAGGGCAGCATCTCCGCGTCTACAGTACTCATCGCCTGTCGATACCAATCCCATAGGCGCTCTCAGGAATTTGAAGCGCCCCCAGGGAGTGATGAAGGTTGTGAGATGCTGGCTATCCTCGGACAAGGGGAGCTGCCAGTAGCCGGATTTGGCATCCAGCGTTGAGAAAATCTTTGATCGCGCGGGGATGCTCGAAACAGCTTCTTTTGGAGTCTGGAGTGGATGTAGCGGTCTCTTCACGAACTGATTGAGTTTGGTGTAATCGACGCATATCCTTACACCACCGTCAGACTTCGCTACCAAAACGAGTGGATGACACCACTCTGAGGACTCTTCGCCCACCGGTGCGATGATTCCTTGGGCAGCCATATCATCCAGTTGGCTCTTCACGTTGTCTCTCCATGCGAACGGCACAGGTCGGGCCGTGCGCACCGCGAACGGTGTGGCGTCCTCCCTGACGTGTATGACCATCGGAGGGCCAGTCATGGGCTTCAGCGGCGACGGGTTGCTGTCGGATGTGAAGACGTCTGTAAATTCCTTGAGCAGCTCATCTCGGAGCTGCTTCTGTCGCTTCTTTTTCTCGCTGGACTTCTTTGACTCGACTGGAGAAACATCGGTCGTCCTTGTCCCAGAGGGTTCACGAGGCAGCGGGATAGGCTGTGGGTAGTGGTCCGGTAGGATTCCGAGATTCTTGGCTGTGTACCATGCGAGCAGAAGCCCTCTCGTCTCTTTGAAGACGTGAACTGTGTCTTCAGCTGCTCTCTCATTCAAACGAAGGATGGCCTTGAAGGTGCCAATACATTGCATGGACTGTCCATTGGCAGCTGTGATGTTGAGACTTGGTGGCTTGGACAGCTCCTTGTCGTCGATCCCTAGGTTGTGTGCAGAGGCTGAGCTCATGACCGTGATGTCAGCACCTGAGTCTGGAGTTGCAGTGATGTCACCAATGAATGTACCGTCTGATGTCTCCACCTTGATGGCGATCTTAGGAGCCTGCAGACTGTGGTGCAGACTACTGACGAATACTTGTGGCACACCAGCACGGCTGGTATCACGGCGATGTCTGCTGCGTGATCTCGTGGAACTTTCTGTGGCAGCCTGCGCTTGCTGAGACGCTCGCTTTTTGCGGCAAACCGAAGCGAAGTGTCCGATGGCTTCACAGAAGAAACAGGGTTGACCTGCTGCAGGACAGTTCCCTTGTGGGTGATTGACCCGACCACAGCGTCCGCATGACTGACTTGCACGTCCACGTGAAGGACTTCGCTGGCCTGGCTCAGGTCGACGAGAAATGCTGAAGACGTTTTGGCCTCTGCTCATGACGTCTTGTAAGGCTTGGTCGTTTACCTGGGCGGCTTCCTCTGAACGGCAGATATCTGTGACTTGATCTAGCGTTGGGAACGGGCGAAGGGCCAGGAGCTTCCGTCGTGTTTCCTGATTGTACAGCCCTGACATGATCTTGGTGGTGAGCCGCTGATCTGTACATGAAGAGCACAGCTCCGCGTCAGCGGCGAGCTCTTTCACCGAAACCAAGAATGAATCAAAGGACTCATCCTGTTCTTGTCGTCGCTCTTCGAACTTCACTCGGTCGATAGCAATGCTGCGCTGCTGGCGCAGATGGTACTCAATCTTGTCTAGTGCTGACTGGACGGAGTCGCTGTCTCTGATGCCGATGGCGTGCTCGGAGGTTGCACGCATGTCTTCGGTAAAGCACGCCCTCAGGTACGCTAGTTGATCCTCACGGCTGAAGGATTGAAGCTGACAGAGTCTGCTGTAGTCATTCCAAGATGATCTCCAAGCTCTGAAGTCTCCGAGGCTGATGGACTCTGACAACTTGCTAGGCGCTGATACGGCAGGCGGTCTCACTGTAGGTGGCACCACAGCCACATCAGATGATGCAGAACTCTGTGAATTCTGTGGTACGACTGGCACTCGGGTCTCTTCAGAGTTGTGAGCAGCAAAAGGCGAAGAAGCATCTCCAGGAGCCGCCCCGGTCGCGTCCGATGCCGTAGCCTCGTCTTGCAAACGCAAACCTTGCATCTCAGCCCTCAGTAGATTTAAGTCTTGCTGGTGTTGTTCCCTTTGTGCTTGAAAGTTGAAGGTCTTGACGATGCTGTTCCTGCAGTCCGGTTACGAGCTTGGTCAGCCATGGTGGTGCGCCTTCTTCTCCAGTGCTGTCCGTCTGATCCATCTTGCAGCTAGAGCGTAGGCTGTAGGCCATGCAGAGCAGAAGTATCAGGAAGTACCAGAAATGTCGCCGCGATGTCCTCTGAAGTGTTTGGGCAGGAGGACCGACAAAAATGAGTAATGGGAATAAATAAGGATGGCGAGGAAGGCGCCAGCCACTGCCCAATTCAGCCCCTCGATGGCGAGGCCACTGAATGCGGACAGATCAGTGATACTCCGGCGCCTTGATGGCAAGGTTAGCCGGAGCCGACTGGTCGCACCCCTTGAATGAGAGGAGTCCCGCACCCGCGTCTCGAGGGCGAGACACGGGAAGCGAGTTCGAACCGACTGTCTCGATGGTGAGACCCTCGGCCGCCACTCTCAATCACCCCAAGAGGAGGAATGAAAAGATGACTTCCCAGGTAAGGACGAGTGGGATGGGTGCAGGATTATGCACCACCGCTCGTTGCATGTAAGGGCGACACTTCACTGCACAACACCGTTCGACCACAATCCTGTCGGCTGAGCCATGTGATGTCGTCGTCGATCCTGCCCTGGTGATCTCTTGAGAGGCGAGCTGCGGTCTGTAGACTGTATTGGAACGAGTCCGAAAGCACACTGACCCCACCATGCCAGTAACACACGACATCGACCTCACACACACACACATACAACGAACAACCAATCAGGTGCCGCTTACACCTGATCACGTGATCGGCCTGCCCCGCGGCGGCAGGCCGGACGGCCCGGCCGCGGCCCGCACGGCTCGGCTGCGGCCCGCACCGCGACCCGACAGGGGCAGGATACTGTGCCGCCGCACCGACTGGGCCAGCTCACAACAGTGGGTACACGGGCCTGATCCGCCTATAAACAGATCCTTCGGTCCGGTGGCATGTCCCGAGGGCACGGCCTCGCTTCATGTCCCGGAGCAGCCCTCTGACCTGCCGGGCCCGAGAAATCTGGATAGCCCCAGCGTGCGCACCAGTGCGGTGTCACCTGGGGTGCGTGACATGAAGCCGCGAAGCGTGCGGTCAAGGCTGTCCCGCTTGGTGGGTGCCGAAACGTTTCGTGCTGCTGTCGTGTATGCAGTGTACTTAGTTCGTTTTTTTTTTTTAGTTTGACCATCATTCTAAACGTCTCGTTGAACACAGCACGAGGATTGCTACCTGAATCACTGAGACAACTGTTTGGCGCACATTGATTTGACAGACGATCAACTTTTATCAAAATTATTACTACCTGGCTCCCATTCCCCAGACCCTCAAGTCTCAGCTCGTATTTGCCAATGTTTGCAACTTCACGGGTATACACAACTTGCCAGCAGTAGCGGCGGAACACCTTCAATTAAGGGGGGCACTGCCGACTTTTGGTCCCATTCTTTCCATGCAACGCCCATAGGGCTAATGTTAAAATGCCAAAATCAAAGGGGGCACGGTGCCCCAGTGCCCTCCCCGTTCCGCCTCTTATGCTTGCCAGGAATTATACCTAACTGAACTAATTAATGCATCGAACGGTGTATTATATAACGGTACATCATCGGTGTTCAAAACTTATTTTTAAAACATGAATCATGCATGTAATACAATGTGCGCCAACCAGTTTTCTCAGTAGGTACCTAATTCAGCAAGCAATAATCGTGCTGTGTTCAAAGGATGTTTACAGTGAGGGTCGAACTTCAAAAAAAAATTTAACTCATTACCTATATGCCATGGTGCTTCCCACCCTGGCTCCGGCGACCAAAATCGACTCTGACTCCGACTCCGGTCAGAACTCCGACCGACTCCGACTCCGCTGCCCTGAACGGGTCTATGGGAGTACCTACTGACCTGACCTGACCTCTCTGACCTGACCTGACCTGAGCTCTGCGGCCCAGCCGTCAGGATGCCGGAGATGGTGGGACTGTGGGAGCGCGTCAAGGACATCGGCTCCGGCGGCTTCGGCATGGTGGTACTTTGGAGAAATGTCACCACCGACCAGAAAATCGGTCAGTCCACACGGCTCACAGTTTGGAGTCTGTACGGCTCACTCCTTAATGTCTTACACTTGTAGATAGGTAGGCAAGATACATCTGGAGTGTCCATAAATACCATTGTGAACTTCGTTCATGCCAGTATCGTGAGCCTGCTTCTAGTTAAAGAAGAAGAAAATAATAGTGACAGGATGACACACAAGTCATAATTGTGAACAATGACCATGGCAATTGAAGTCTGTATAGTCTCTTTCTCTGTCCAGCCCAGAGTCTGTGCTCCTCTCTCTCCCCTCTGTCCAGGACTCCCGAGTGCACGCTTCTCTCTCTCTCTCTCTCTCTCTCTCTCTCTCTCTCTCTCTCTCTCTCTCTCTCGCTCTCTCTCTCTCTCTCTCTCTCTCTCTCTCTCTCTCTCTCTCTCTCTCTCTCTCTCCTCTCTCTCTCTCTCTCTCTCTCTCTCTCTCTCTCTCTGACCCTCTCTCGACTCTGACCCTCCCACCCCCTCTCCAGCCATCAAGCAGTGCAGGTGGGGGGAGCCCGGCTCCGGAACGGAGGCGCTGATACAGCCCAAAGTCCGCGACAGATGGAGAAAGGAGGTGGAGATCATGCTCAAACTGAACCACAGGTGCGTACTCTGGGCTCCGTGTGAATCACCGGGGGGGGGGGGGAGCTGTGAACCCGGGGCTCTGTGGGACTCTGTGAACCACAGGTGGGTAATCTGGACTCTGTGTGAACCACCACAGGCGGGTTCAGGGCTCTGTGTGAACCACAGGTGGGTAATCAGGGCTGTGTGTGAACCACAGGTGGGTAATCAGGGCTGTGTGTGAACCACAGGTGGGTAATCAGGGCTGTGTGTGAACCACAGGTGGGTAATCAGGGCTCTGTGTGAACCGCAGGTGACCGAGGGGGGGGGGCTGTGAATCACAGGTGGGGGGCCTGTGAACCCGGGGCTCTGCAGGGCTCTGTGTAAAACACAGGTGCGTACTCGGGGCTCTGTGGGAACCACAGGTGTGTGGGGCGGGGGAGGGTACTTGGGGCTCTACAGGGCCTGTGAACCACAGGTGGGTACTGTGGGCTCTGCAAGGTATCTAAAGCTCCCTGGCTGTCTGTGGGGGAGGGAGTGGAAGGGATGGAAAGGGAAAGGTAAATTGTGGTGGAGGGACACAATAGAAGGTCATACGATCCCGTTTTATGTCAGTTGATTTCATTGCCTTCAATTATTCATTAATTAACTAATCTGGAACTCTAATAGAAGTGCCTCGAAATAGTAAAGTTAACAGCTACCCTGATTTATATTGAAATGCGAGATCGGATTAGTTTGAGTTACGCGGCGATATTCTGTTTGAACTTCGCCAGCAGGTGCCGCTACGTGCACTATGAGCGAATGCTGTCCACGCCATAATCAATTATTCATTGAACGTGAAGCGAGGGGATGCAGGGGCTCCCACCGTTTTCCCAGAGCACGATAGTCTGCATGTCTCGCGAGGGCTTGTCTTTGGCAGAGTCTTGTAAGTTGTATTTTGTGTTTTACTGGTGCTATGAGCTGTGTGACTAACACCGTCCCTTGGAGAAGTATTTAACCCGCGCCCCACTGGGGTCTCATGTGTAAAACACGCCCTACTGGGGGGGGGGGGGGGCTATTCATAGCCCCCCTCCTAACTCCGAAACTACTGGGCCGATCGTCAAAATTCAAACGGCGTCTGATAGCCCCGGAAAAACTGTCCAGCGAAACCTAATTTCATTGACCTCGAGGTCACCGATGACGTCACAGGTCAGGTCAAAGTAAAAATTATTAGCATTTTGGCTTGTTCACATTTTGGGCTCTGGCCGCCGTCTTACAAGTCAGATCAGGCTCATTTTTGGTACACACACTCTTAAACAGATGCTCTAGATACCCTGAGGGTACCAAGCTTTTACTTTGTTTTTCAGGTCAAGGTCAGGTCATCACAGGTCACGAAAATATTTTATCATGCGTCGGTCACGTGACACATGTTTTATGGTCCATTTAGGCCATAGATTTCGAATTTGATGTCGTCTGTGTCATTCGAGGTCATTTTGAGTCGAATTTAGCTTAGGTCAGGTCACTTTCAGGTCAAAAAAGGTCAAATTTTGAAGTTAAAATTTTTCAACAAAAAAGGTGTCTATTGGATGCAGTTTGAGCTCAGGAACACGATGGTGCCATTTATATTGGTGTACGATGTCAAATACGTACTGAAAAATTGATTTGAAAAACTAATAATTGTGAATTTTTTGCAATAATGCGTATAACTTGGCCATTTTTGAAAATATTTAGCTAAAACTTGCTAGAGTTAGTCATAATCATGCGTTCTGTCACATATATTCCGGTTTTGTCGAAAAGTCAAAAACTTTTTGAAAAAAATATAAAAATACAAATTTTGAATATTATTATATCAAATTTTCGAAATTTTCAAAATTTTGAAAATTCGAGATAGCAGTTTGATAGCGCGGTCGATTCTGAGTCCTTTCATGCAAAGAAATTGGATCTAGCTTAAAAACTGAGCTCTTGGGAGCGATTGCCGTGGTTCAATGTTTTGCGTCGAAATCGGACGAACATGACGTCACTCTGACGTCATTTCCGGCCGACCTATGGTAGCTACGAAGTGTAAATTTTGACACAAGGTGTCAAATTGATGCAGCCGAAGGTACTGTAAGTTTGGCGTCGATCCGTCAAGCGGTTTGGAAGTTATTGCAGAAAAACGGGAGGGGGGCTATAAATAGCCCCCCCCCAGTGGGGCGCGGGTTAAGAGATAATTCCGGTTGTATGCTGCTCAATAATGCTGTTCTGTGACGCTGCCCGCTGTGTTTCCAGGGGCATCGTCAGCTGCATGCCACTACCTGGTGACTTTCAGCTGGACCCAGCCGCCCTGCCACGACTCTGTATGGAGTACTGCGAGGGAGGAGACCTCAGACGGGTACGTCAGGGATAGTATCTGTATGTACGGCTCTGTATGGAGTACTGTGAGGGAGGAGACCTCAGGCGGGTACGTCAGGGATAGTCTCTGTATGTACGGCTCTGTATGGAGAACTGCGAGGGAGGAGACCTCAGACGGGTACGTCAGGGATAGTCTCTGTATGTACGGCTCTGTATGGAGTACTGTGAGGGAGGAGACCTCAGACGGGTACGTCAGGGATAGTCTCTGTATGTACGGCTCTGTATGGAGTACTGCGAGGGAGGAGACCTCAGAGGGTACGTCAGGGATAGTCTCTGTATTATGGTTCTGGAGTACTGCGAGGGAGGAGACCTCAGACGGGTACGTCAGGGATAGTCTCTGTATGTACGGCTCTGTGCGGAGTACTGCGAGGGAGGAGACCTCAGACGGATACGTCAGGGATAGTCTCTGTATGTACGGCTCTGTATGGAGTACTGCGAGGGAGGAGACCTCAGACGGGTACGTCAGGGATAGTCTCTGTATGTACGGCTCTGTACGGAGTACTGCGAGGGAGGGGACCTCAGACGGGTACGTCAGGGATAGTCTCTGTATGTACGGCTCTGTACGGAGTACTGCGAGGGAGGAGACTTCAGACGGGTACGACAGGGATATTCTCTGTATGTACGGCTCTGTATGGAGTACTGCGAGGGAGGAGACCTCAGACGGGTACGTCAGGGATAGTATCTGTATGTACGGCTCTGTATGGAGTACTGCGAGGGAGGAGACCTCAGACGGGTACGTCAGGGATAGTCTGAGGGACAGTCGTGTGTCGTTTTGGGGACGCCAGTTCCATCGGAGCTGACATTGTCTGACACACCTATGGGTAATAGGTCAGAATAGTTCGTCAGGTTGGAGTTGCCAAAGGCATGCTTTTTTAAGGTGAGACAATTGCTATTTGAAAATTGAAATATCATCAGCCAAGCGAAGTTATTAGTGCACAGAAGTAGTTAGACAGTCTGTTTGGATAGCTCCATTCTCCATATTTGGGAGCAGAGAGGCTGGTTGCCCAGAATTGTGGTTTTACTAGAGGGCCGGCGTCAGACTCAGAGACGCTCGGAGGCGGAGTGGAGCGGTGACTGTGTGCCGTTTTCTGTGCGTCTGTGGGTCAGCAGCAGCATAGTTCTGTTTGAGGAGTAGCCGCGGACTCAGCGTTCAGAGACGCGCGGAGGGCGGAGTGGGTTAGAGGCCGTTTGACGTCATGCCTTGCTGATGTCTGTAGGTGAATGATATGATCGGTGAGACGGTCAGGCCAACGCACTGTGTGAGGTTTAGTCGTAGGTACTGGCTGCACGTGTGGCGTTGGGGACCTGAAGCGGAATGCTCTGTGCTACCCCCGAGGACAATGAACCGGGATTGTGATTCACCCGGCACCCCCCTCTGTCTGACACCCCTGTGTGACTCACATGAGTGGGGGGGGGGGGGGAGTGAAGACATGAGTGCTGCCAAGTGTTCTGTGTGAATGGGATGGTTTCAAACTTTCGACCCAATTACTGAGATTGCCAGGTAGCTGCGTGATAAAAACTTACCACTAAATACAACGTGGACGTCGAGGAGCACTTGTACTTATATATGTCCTGTGTTGGGAACCCGTGCGGGAATTAATTCGTCGTTACATATTTATCGTCTGACAAACGCGCGTTATTTTTTGATGACCCGCAATATCCTATGACTCACGAAGACTTACGTGGTAGCGCAGCTGTAAATCAAACGCACCACACATTGTTGATGCCGGTTTTCGTGCCACTGCATAGCTGACCGGCAGAAGTCATCTTTCGACGGAAGATTTTTAAGGCGCTGCTCTTTTCTGAGCTGTTTACCCGGCCGTCTTCATTTTAATGCTTGACCAGTGACGTTATTGGAGCAGCAGCTGCTGCTGTAACCGTGGACCTGTCGTCGCTTTTTGGTTACCACAATGGTCATTTGTCGTCAGCATGTGCCCTCGTTCATGTTTGATAGAATTTTACTAGGGTAGTACTTGATGCAGATTTTTCTTAAATATGACAGCATCATTTTAGGATAACAGCAGCATAATCATGACAAGGGCTGCCGTTACATTTAACCAGATATCTGCATCGATAACCATATGCGGCGGGACGGGGAGGGCACCGAGGCACCGTGCCCCCCTTTGATTTTGGCATTTTAACATTAGCCCTATGGCGTTGCATGGAAATAATGGGACCAAAAGTCGGTAGTGCCCCCCCCCCCTTAATCGAAGGTGTTCCGCCGCTACTGTGACGATAACAACTTGCTTCCGAAGTTGAATTAATTACTGCTGCGCCTTTTTAACTGATGCTCTCACTGACGTCCTTTGACGCGTGTGTAGGTACTGCAGCTGCGGCTTGTTTCCCCACTGACGTCATTTGACACGCTCTAGGTGCTGCTGCGGCCGGAGAACTGCTGCGGCCTGCCGGAGCTGGAGGTCCGCCAGTTTCTCAGTGATATCACGGACGCACTCTGCTACCTCCACGGTCTGCGGATCATCCACCGGGACCTGAAACCTGAGAACGTCGTCCTGCAGACGGTGCATGGCAAGGTGAGGCGCGTCATATGACGTCGGTGGATCCAAGAACGCCGTATTACATACTGTGCATGGAAAGGTGAGGCGCGTCATATGACGTCAGTGAATCCAAGGACGTCGTATTACATACTGTGCACGGCAAGGTGAGGCGCGTCATATGACGTCAGTGGATCCAAGAACGTCGTACTGCAGACGATGCATGGCAAGGTGAGGCGCGTCATATGACGTCAGTGGAACAGAGGACGTCGTACTGCAGATCTTTTGTGATGCTGCGACAAATGACGTTAGACTCTTTGACTAGTAATGTTGTTGATTATGCCGCAGCTGATGTGTTAAGGTGTATTGCTATTGAGGGTGAATGATTATGTCCATAAGCATCCAGTTGTCCATAAGCGTCCGTTAGCAAGGTGGGACATGTCGTTAATTAAAGAGTGCTATTTGCGAAAGATGTGTTGGGTAAAGTTTATCGATACTTAATATCTAAAATTTCAACGATTATTTAGTCTTAACCCACGAGCCGCTGGGGGGGGGGCATAAAGTTGCCCCCCCCCTTTACGTTTTGTGGAATATCTCCGAAACCTGATGAGCTACGAACGTGAAACTTGGCATAGTTTCAAATGAATACCTAGGCAATGTTTGTAGAAATTTTGGTGGTTGTAGCACCTAAGATGACGTCACAGTGACGTCATAAAGTTTTGTCGTTTTCCGATATGGACCGTTTCTGATGACGCTGAGCATGAAACTCAACTGTAAATGAACTAGACAGCACCTGCTGTCATCCTAAAACATCTAAGTACACTTCCATCTAGTTCCTAACCAATAATCGGCCCTTTATATTCGGTCCCATATATCTGATGTATCGTGAGGAAACTGAGAGTCGCAAATCTATAATTTGACTTATGACGTCACTGTGACGTCATTTCAAATGGGATCGACACCAAATTCGGACACAACCTTCGCTAGGTATTCAGGAAGATGTGTGCAAAGTTTCGCTTTTCTATCCCTTCGCGTTGCGACGATATCGTCGCGGAAGTGAAGGGGGGGCAACTATATGCCCCCCCCCCCCAGCGGCCGGCGGGTGGCGCGGAGGCCCAGCGGCCGCCGGGTTAAACCGTCGTTTGATATATCTTTATGTATCTGTTATGCATCCATATATTCTTCTGTCGGGCCACTCATTGACCAATGTCTGAGCACGCTTCCCCCGCTGCCGCAGCCCCTGTACCAGCTGATTAAGTGTCTGAACATGCCTCCCACGATGCCGCAGCCCCTGTATAAGCTGATCGACCTGGGGTACGCCAAGGAGCTGGACCAGTCGAGCGTCTGTACTTCGTTCGTGGGGACGCTGCAGTACCTGGCACCGGAGCTGTTCCTGACTAACAAGTAAGGAAAGGGAGGGGAGGACAGGGTAGGGCCGCAGCACCGGAGCACAAGTAAGGAAGGGAGGGGAGGTTAGGGGACACTGGCAGTACCTGGCACCGGAGCTGTTCCTGACTAACAAGTAAGGAAGGGAAGGGATAAAAATGGAAGGGAGGGGATGGGAGGGTAGAGTTTCGTTACAGTACCAGGGCCCAATCTTACCAAATGCCGTGAATGCGCAGTCGGCTCGCGGCATTTGGTAACATTCAAAACTATTTAACATCCATTTATTCATTCGTTCGGGCAACGTTCATTATCATTCACGCTATCGAAATCATTGGACAAGATTAGCTGGTGCCGGAACTCACTGACAAGTTCGGGAGGGATGAGGATTGGGCAATATTATACAGTAGTAGTAAGAGAGGATGAAAAGGCAGGAGCTCGTTAGGTTAGGGAAAAGGGAAGGAGAAGGTGGCAGGGACACTGGCAGTACCTAATCCCCGAACTCTTTCTCCAAAAAAGTACGGAAGTAAATTGGAGTGGATCTTTTTATCGGAGACTTGTGAGTGGGATTAATCAGCAGCAGCGATAGCGAGTTGGGCAGGGAGCTGAGTACTCCCTGTTGGAAGAACCCGAGACCTGCGAGCATTGATGGGTAGCATTACGTGGATGGGGAGAGTTTCGTTCTAGCCGAGTCTTGAACGATAATTCGTTCTAGCCGAGTCTAGAACAATAATTAAAACGTTAATTGCGGGTTCATGTAACGAGCTTGTTATAAAGCTGTGATGTTTTACATAAATACTAGAGGTACAGGTTTACGCGATAACTGTATGTTTTGATTTATGTTATGTTACGGGTGCATTAGTTTGGGTGATTGACTTGTATTTTTAGCTGTATTATTTGGGTAGATTTGGGTAGCTGTTTTTAATTGAACTGTAAGGGATGGTGATAGTTGCGGGGTGTTAAGTGTTTTGTATGTTGGGCCCTTTTTGAACTCAACCCTACCCCTATCCTATCCCTACCCTAACCCTACCCTACCCTACCCTACCCCTACCCTACCCTACCCTACCCTTCCCTACTACCCTACCCTACCCCTACCCCTACCCTACCCTACCCTACCCTACCCTACCTAACTCTACCCTACCCTACCCTACCCTGCCCTACCATACCCTACCCTACTACCCTACCCTACCCTACCCTACCCTACCTTACCCTACCTTACCCTACCCTACCCTTACACTACCCTACCCTACCCTAGTCCCTACCCTACCCTACCCTAGTCCCTACCCTACCCTACCTTACCCTACCCTACCCTACCTTACCCTACCCTACCCTACCCTACCCATACACTACCCTGCCCTACCCTCACCCTCCCCTTCCCTACCCTACACTACCCTACCCTATGACATACCCTACCCTACCCTACCCTATCCTACCCCTACACTACCCTACCCTACCCTACACTACCCTACCCTACCCTACCCTACTCTACCCTACCCTACCCTAACCTACCCCTACACTGCACTACACTACACTACACTTAACTACCCTACCCTACCCTACCCTACCCTACCCTACCCTACCCTACCCTACCCTACCTTACCCTACCCTACCCTACCCTACACTACCACCGATAGTCCAAGTTTCAGCTAAATCGGCCCAGAAACGGCTGAGATATTGCAAAATCAAATTAATTTGTATTTACTGGCGAATCTCCTTGGCGAGCGGTGCCTTGTGCCGGCCTTCGTTGTCAAAGGTCAATGACCTGCCGGCTCTGATTATTTCCACTCAGTTTGGCAAGCGAACAACTGAGCCTAAAGCACGTGCCTTCTGCTCGGCACCGGTCGCAGCCCCACCACGTGCACACCGCTGAACCCACCCTCTCGAAAATTTAATACGACAAATGAGTGCACGCGACCGACTTGGCGTGAAAATTTCACCCCCGTAGCCCTTACCGTTCCCGAGCAATAGCCTGTTGCCGATTCTAGTGTAAACCCTATGGCACACCACGTGAGCACGCGCCACGGGCGCACCCCCGGCCGCATCGTGCCCAAAATTTGACACGACCTGTTGAATGACGCGACCCACGAGTGGCAAAAATTTCACCCTCCTGCGTCAATCGACGGCGCCGTTATAAGCCATTTTGGGAGTTACCCCGACGGCGGCGGATTTTTTAGGATTTATAATATAGACTAGAGGTACAGGTTTACGCGATAACTGTATGTTTTGAGTTATGTTATGTTACGGGTGCATTCGTTTGGGTGATTGACTTGTATTTTTAGCTGTATTATTTGGGTAGATTTGGGTAGCTGTTTTTAATTGAACTGTAAGGGATGGTGATAGTTGCGGAGTGTTCAAGTGTTTTGTATGTTGGGCCCTTTTTGAACACAACCCTAACCCTACCCTACCCTACTACCCTACCCTACTCTACCCTACCCTACTATCCTACCCTACCCTACTACCCTACCTTACCCTACCCTACCCTACTACCCTACCCTACCCTATCCTACCCTACCCTAGTCCCTACCCTACCCTATCCTACCCTTACACTACCCTAACCCTACCCTACCCTACCCTACCCCTACACTACCCTACCCTACCCTACCCCTACACTACACTACCCTACCCTACCCTACCCTACCCTACCCTACCCTTCTCCTACACTACCCTACCCTGCCCTGCCCTACCCTAACCCCTCCCCTACCCTACCCTTCCCTACCCTACCCTTCCCTACCCTACCCTACCTGCCCTACCTACCCTACCTAACTCTACCCTACCCTACCCTACCCTACCCTACCCTACCCTACACTACCCTAACCTACCCTACCCTACCCTACCCTAACCTACCCTACCCTACCCTACCATACCCTACCCTACCCCTACATTACCCTACCCTACCCTACCCTACCCTACCCTACCCTACCATACCCTACCCTACCCCTACATTACCCTACCCTACCCCTACACTACCCTACCCTACCCTACCCTACCCAACACTACACTGCCCTACACTACCACCGACAGTCCAAGTTTCAGCTAAATCGGCCCAGAAACGGCTGAGATATTGCAAAAACAAATTTATCGTATTTACTGACGAATCCCCTTGGCGAGGGGTGCCTTGTGTCGGCCTTCGTTGTCAAAGGTCAACGACCTCCCGGCTCTGATGCTTTTCACTCAGTTTTCTAAGCGAACAACTGAGCCTAAAGCACGTGCCTTCTGCTCGGCGCCGGTCGCGGCCGCACCACGTGCACACCGCTGAACCCACACCCTCGAAAATTTTATACGACAATTGAGTGCACGCGTCCGACTTACAGCGAAAATTTCACCCCCGTAGCCCTTACCGTTCCCGAGCAATAGCCTGTTGCCGATTCTAGTGTAAACCCTATGGCACACCACGTGAGCACGCGCCACGGGCGCACCCCCGGCCGCATCGTGCCCAAAATTTAATACGACCTGTTGAATGACGCGACCCACGAGTGGCAAAAGTTTCACCCTCCTGCGTCAATCGACGGCGCCGTAGTAAGCCATTTTGGGAGTTACCCCGACGGCGGCGGACTTTTTAGGATTTATAATATATAGATTTCTCCAGGTCACTTTAATAACCCCTTCAGTATGCCATAGTGCTCTCTTCCCTACTACTTTACCCTATCCTACTTTAGGTACACCTGTACTGCCGACTACATGGAGTCTGAGTCTAACCTCGGTCTGATTCTAACATCCGTCCCGCTCTATCCCAGGTACACCCTCGACTCAGTACACTCAGTGTGGTCTGAATGTGACCCCTGTCACCCTCCCGGCCTATCTCAGGTACACCTTTACCGGGCCGACTATTGGAGCCTGTGTCTAACCTCGGTCTAACCCTAAACCTCCACCCCGCCCTATATCAGGTACACCTGTACTCCCAGTGGTCTGGGTCTGACCTCTGTCACCCTCCCCGGGCCATCTCAGGTGCACCCGTACCGGGCCGACTATTGGAGCCTGTGTCTAACCACCGTCCTGCTCCATCTCAGGTACACCCGTACCGGGCCGACTATTGGAGCCTGTGTCTAACCACCGTCCTGCTCCATCTCAGGTACACCCGTACCGGGCCGACTATTGGAGCCTGTGTCTAACCACCGTCCTGCTCCATCTCAGGTACACCCGTACCGGGCCGACTATTGGAGCCTGTGTCTAACCACCGTCCTGCTCCATCTCAGGTACACCCGTACCGGGCCGACTATTGGAGCCTGTGTCTAACCACCGTCCTGCTCCATCTCAGGTACACCTGTAATGCCGACTACTGGAGTCTTATCTCGGTCTGATTCTATCCTCCCTCCCCGGCCCATCTCAGGTACACCTGCACGGCCGACTACTGGAGCCTGGGCCTGGTTGCCTACGAGGTAGTCACTGGAGTGCGGCCCTTCCTGCCTAACATGCCTCCAGCCATGTGGTGAGTTACAGAGAAACTCTAGCACTGTGAGGAGTTGGAACATCAATTGGCGCGTGTTGAGGATTAGATCATAAGGTTAATTTCATGGTCAGTTAGATTGTAGGAAATTGTTGTTAGTGCATTTTAGCCATGTGTAATACCGGGTGATCATTTGGGAATGAGATAAAGTAAGTGGCACGTGCAGATGTGTATTCAATAGCACACCAGACAAAAGACACGTCATTAGACTCGTCATCGTGGGACATTTTGTACTGCACACTATTATACACCTGCAAGCCACTGTTCATCTACAGCAGGTGCTCAAAGTGGCCACCCCCTTCTGAGCGGCACAGCTCAGCCCGACGGCATGTGTGACGCGCCATCTTTCGCAGCTGCTCTTCGTCCATGTTACGGGCGAAGTCCTCAACCAGTTCCTTCAGCTGTTCCAGCGTTTGGGGCTCGCTGCGCACGATCTGAGCCGTCACCAAGGACTTTAAAGTCCAGACAAGACAGGTCGGGACTGTACGGCGGCCATCGGCGTTCACTGTTCCGGGAGATGACGCGGATGGCCTCCTGTGAATTCTGGCTAACCCATGATGAGGAGTGGTTTGAGCGTGTACTCTGGAGTGACGAAAAGTGGTTTGTTCTGCATCCGTCTCCAAACAAGAAGAACACCGTGTGCTGGTCGCCAGAGAATCCGAACAAGCTCGTGCCATGCAAGAAGGCCCAGGGGTAGAAGGTGATGGCGTGGGTGGGCGTGGTGGATGGGAAGTGCCTGCCAGTTCACTGGTTCACTGGCTCCGTCAACAGCGACGCCTACCTGGAGATGCTGCAGACGGTGGTGTGGCCTGCGGTGAAGGCTCGGGCGACGCGCCACCAGTACTGGTTCCAGCAGGACGGCAAGCCGCCGCACGTCACTGCTCCCGTGATGGACTTCCTCCACTCGAAGTTCGGCGGCCGCGTCATCTCCCGGAACAGTGAACACCGATGGCCGCCGTACAGTCCCGACCTGTCTTGTCTGGACTTTTGTTTCTGGTCATTGGTGACGGCTCAGATCGTGCGCAGCGAGCCCCAAACGCTGGAACAGCTGAAGGAACTGGTTGAGGACTTCGCCAGCAACATGGACGAAGAGCAGCTGCGAAAGATGGCGCGTCACACACGCCGTCGGGCTGAGCTGTGCCGCTCAGAAGGGGGTGGCCACTTTGAGCACCTGCTGTAGATGAACAGTGGCTTGCAGGTGTATACTTAGTGTGCAGTACAAAATGTCCCACGATGACGAGTCTAATGACGTGTCTTTTGTCTGGTGTGCTATTGAATACACATCTGCACGTGCCACTTACTTTATCTCATTCCCAAATGATCACCCGGTATATGGCCACCGCAGTCGACGCGCCCGTAAACCCCAATGAACGAGCCATGTGTAATTAATTTTCCGTTGTCATTGTAGGTTTTCAGTGCCAAAGTCCGTAGGCGCCTACGAGCTTGCCGAGTTTGCGAGGCCTTTTGCCCTGAATTCATCTAAGCTGCACTATGCTGCACTATCGGGTAATATGCATGCATCACTTAATAATGCACTGCAGCACTGCAGTGGCAGTTGTTCACGTCATATGGCGTAAGTTGTACTTGTGTTTTCAGTGTTTCCATTTTTGACCGCCAGCACTTGTCCCGGGAGGACGGCTCAGTGACTGTAAGTGTTTCCATTCTCCGCCGCCAGGATGCAGCACGTATCTCGGAAGGACCCGTCTCATATAGCGGCCGAGAGGATGGAGGACGGTTCGATCCAGTTCCGCTCGGAGATATCCGTCTGTAACCACATCTCGCCGTGAGTGGAGGTCACGAGAGGTCACAGGATGTCAAACTGAGGTCACAGGAGGTCATATAGAGGTCACAGGAGGTCCTATAGAGGTCACAGGAGGTCATATATAGGTCACAGGAGGTCATATAGAGGTCACAGAAGGTCATATAGAGGTCACAGAAGGTCATATAGAGGTCACAGGAGGTCATATAGAGGTCACAGGAGGTCATATAGAGGTCACAGGAGGTCATATAGAGGTCACAGGAGGTCATATAGAGGTCACAGGAGGTCATATAGAGGTCACAGGAGGTCATATAGAGGTCACAGGAGGTCATATAGAGGTCACAGGAGGTCATATAGAGGTCACAGGAGGTCACGAAAGATCACAGAAGGTCATATAGAGGTCACAGGAGGTCACGAAAGATCACAGAAGGTCATGGGAGGTCACAGAAGCTGACAAGAGGTCGCGAGTGGTCATGAAAGGGCACTGAAGGCTGCTTGGAGGTCGCGGGAGGGTACTTAGAGATCACGGGAAGTTTCTTGGAGGCCACGAGAGGCAGTGTCCCAAAATTATATTTTTGCTTGGGTGTCAGAGGGGAAAATTGCTAACCAAAAAAAAAGATGAGAGTGAAAAATTGTCGGTCAGGTAAGGCCCAAAAGAGTGGGAAAATGATCAAAAACATTAATCTATCTACAATTGTGACAGATGCAAAACAACCATTCACGCAATTGCTCCTTCTCGGTGGAATTGGGAGTGGAAAATTGGGCTTGAAAACTGGAGGTGAGAGTGGAAATGATTTTCATTTGGATGTCGTTTCCCACCCACATCTACAAATTTTGGGACACTGACGAGAGGTCACAGAACGTGAATAAGCAGGGAGGGTGATATGATAACTATCAGCGCAAATGACCATGATGGGGTGCTGGCCAAAGTATCTGCTGATGGGATGGACACAGACTAACGTACGAACTGGAAGATGTGGGGTAGGTAGTACATACACGGAATTATATGTGTAGTCTCCCTTGAAAGTACCGCTACTCGAGGTACCGCTATCACTTCCTGGTTTGAGAGCCTTTGACTTTTGCTGGTTGGAAAATCCCCTGGCTTTAATTGAAGTCAACCCTCAAAAGCCAGGAGCTGTCAAACCACGGAGCGATACCGATACTTTCGAGTAGCGATACCTTTAACCCGCGAGTTGCTGGGGAGGGGCGTTAAACGCCCCCACTTTTTTCGCCACGCTGTAGCTTAAAAACGGCGCGCCGCAGGGGCGCCAAATTTTGGGTACCTGTAGGGAATTGATTAAAGTATATTGTGCCAAAGTTTCAAAAGAATCGGTCTTAACGATTTTGAGATATTTAGGTTTTAGTGACGTCATGAATTATGAGTTTTCTACCAAAAACGGAATATGCTCGAAAAATCATATAAAATTACAGAATAGACATACAGACGTGCCGTAAACGCCATTAGACTGCCAATGTTATGTACAATCAGCTGGTTATCATTGATTTTTTATTACCGTTCCACATTTTCCAAAATCTTGGTCTAAGTCTTGGCTACCTCATGACACTTCACGACCATGATACATTTATTTCCTAAATTGATATTTTGTAATCAAACACGTACACATATGATAAAATAAATGACACCATCGTGTTCTACGCCCAAAATTACCCATAAAGCATGTGTCATAGACTGCGAATACCAGTTTTGATTTTCGGGGGTATGCTCTTCCCTGATTGACCTGACCTTGACCCTGACCCATGTTTGACCGACCCTTATATGGATCTGACACTCTTGTATCACTTATATGAAGGATTGTGCACCGTTTTGACAGAGTTTATGACGAGAGGCGCCCATTACGAGGTTCTGAGGTCCAATATGCTACCGAAAGCCCGATTTCAGGAGCTTGACCTGACCTTGACCCGATCTGTGACCTTGAAATTCAACTTTAAAGTACTCATCTGAAGCGTCTCGTCGCGTTCTTTCGTTTGCCGCCTCGTGCGTTTCGCTGCGCCTATTGGTTCTCGAGTTATCGGCTGGGGGCGTTTAACGCCCCCCCCCCCCCCCAGCAACGGCGGGTGGCGAAATACCCCAGCAACTGCCGGTTTAACGGAGACTATACCAATACGACTGAGGGTAAAATATTCGCCGTCGGTGCATACGACATTGTACGGCTGTAAGATATTTGAATGTATGCTGTTTTTAGTCTATTTTGCAGTCTCAGCCCCTAACTGCCCCCTCCAAAGCCCCCTTACTGCCCCCATCCCCTCCACAGCCCCTGACTCCCCTTCGGAAGGGGAGTCAGTCTGACTCCCCCCCCCTCCACAGCCCACCTCACTGACTCCCCCCCCCCCCTCCCCGCAGGCCCTGACTGACCCCCCCCCCCCCCGCCCTCCCCGCAGGCCCTGACTGACTCCCCCCCTCCTCCGCAGCCCCCGGACTGACCCCCCCGCCCCCGCCCCGCAGGCCCTGACTGACTGACTCTCTCCCCCCCCCGTCCCCTCCGCAGCCCGCTACGCTACCACCTGGAGGGGTGGCTGCGCCGTCTGCTGGACTGGGAGCCGCGGCGGCGCGGCCGGCCGCTGCCTCCCACCGCCGCCGGCCCCCCGCAGCCCACTCACGGAGCGGGAGGACAGCGGGAGCCGGGGCTGGCGGGGGAACTGGCTGGACTGGCGGTGTCGACACCGGCACAGGGGGCGGCGCAGGTCAGTCCGAAACACGTGCTGGAGCACACAGAGTGGAACACAGTGGGACACACAGAGTGGAACACAGTGGGACACACGGAGTGGAACGCAGTTAAACACACAGAGTGGAACACAGTGAGACACACATAGTGGAACACAGTGAAATATACATAGTGGAACACTATGGGACACACAGAGTGGAACGCAGTGAAACACACACAGTGTGGAACACAGTGGGACACACATAGTGGGACACAGTGGGACACACACAGAGTGGAACACAATGGGACACTAATGAGAGTGGAACGCACAGTTCATGCATATTGCGTAGTCTGACTAACTTTCAATAGTCTGATTCTGTTAGCGCTGCGGCCCGAAACGCGTTATTGCAGTACCGGTGATTAGTAGAAGATAGAATAGTTATCTGTTATAGCGAAAGTTTTCTGTCGAAATTTATTGAGTACAAAGGTGACATGAATGACCACATGAAATTAGAGGGCATATGTTGAGCCATGCCTGATTTTGCCTTTATTGCAAGGTTGTATTTCATTGATAGGAGTAAGCGGCGTAAGAACATACTCCCCCTAACAGACTTTTCTCGGCTTTAAAAAGAAAGACATCTCATCCGCTATTTAGGTCACCGATGTTATATGTATATTGAAGAAGAGGTTGTTTTTTTTCTGACAGAAAATGACAATAACAACTCCTAGAATACAATTACCTATTGTATTTACTGTTCTGATCCTCTCTGCTGCTTCCCAGTCACAGTGTCCTAGATTTGGGTGGGAAACAACATCCAAATGATGACAATTTTCCACTCTTGTTTCAAATCTTCGAGAGCGATTTTCCACTCCCAACCTAAAAAAAAAAAAAAACGAGGAGTATCTGCGTGCATGGTCGTAAACATAATATTGATGCATGAAATACAAGCTACATTCTACCACATGTGTGGTGATCCATGCTTCCCTTCATTCTTACCACTTCCACCTGTTTTTAGCAGGGATGCGGAGCCGGAGCCGGAGTCGGAGCCGGAGCCGCCGGAGCCGGCATATTTTGCCCGGAGCCGGAGCCGGAGCCGGAGCCGTGAAACAATATAGCCCGGAGCCGGAGCCGGAGCCGGAGCCGCCAAAAAAAGGGGGCGACTCCGGCTCCTTTTTATTTTTTGAAGAGGAAAAAAAATAATTGACCTAGTTCGGTTTGACAGTACAAGGCAGTAAAACATATGGTACTTTACTTACGTCATGGGCCATCAAGTGAATGAAAAAAGCCGAACGCAATCAACTTCTTGTCTGCTCCTCCCCCCCCCCCCCACGTCTACTGCATCCCCAGAGCATGAGGACCGGTCATCAGGTGACGGCCATTGTTTTCAAGCCAGGTGCAGTGGACTGCGACTCCCAGCACCGTCTCTTCCCCTCCCCCCACCCCCCACCCCCCCCCACTCCCACCCCCCAATGCACCCGAGACTGGTGTCAGCTTACGATGGTTCAGTGAACTCCAATTCGCGGCGACTGCGTTTCCAATGCCATCGCTTCCTAGTCCTTTGTTCTGCCAGTTCTCTCCGAGGTGTGTTTGCGCGGGGACGCGGTGAGCCGGTCATGGCAAAGAGTGACGCGTATAACCAATCCAATTTTTATTCCACCCGTATTTAATTGATTGCATAGGGGATGTACTGAGTCGGAGCCGGAGCCGCCGGAGCCGGAGCCGCCGGAGCCGGACCATTTTACTCGGAGCCGGAGCCGGAGCCGGAGCCGCCACAACATTTCACCCGGAGCCGGAGCCGGAGCCGGAGCCGTTTTTTTCTCCGGAGCCGGAGCCGGAGCCGGAGCCGTCTGAAATTTCCACGGCTCCGCATCCCTGGTTTTTAGCTTAACCTGACCGGCAATTTTCCACTTTTATCTCCCTGGTAACTGATTACTTTACCCCTCCGACACCCAAACCAAAATATTATTCTGGGACACTGCCCAGTCAGATCTGTGACGCCTCTGTTTCCGCTCCGCAGGCCGGGTCGGAGTCGGCCCCAGGCCCTGTGATAGTGTTCAGTCAGCTGCAGGAACTGCTACAGCGCAGGGTGGTAGCGGTATTCTGTGAACACTCCTGCCAGCTGTTACACGCCGAGATATCGGAGAGCACTACCATGGGACAGCTGCAGGTCAGTCAGACAGACAGACAGACAGACAGACAGACAGACAGACAGACAGACAGACAGACAGACAGACAGACAGACAGACAGACAGACAGACAGACAGACAGACAGACAGACAGACAGACAGACAGACAGACAGACAGACAGACAGACAGACAGACAGACAGACAGACAGACAGACAGACAGACAGACAGACAGACAGACAGACAGACAGACAGACAGACAGACAGACAGACAGACAGACAGACAGACAGACAGACAGACAGACAGACAGACAGACAGACAGACAGACAGACAGACAGACAGACAGACAGACAGACAGACAGACAGACAGACAGACAGACAGACAGACAGACAGACAGACAGACAGACAGACAGACAGACAGACAGACAGACAGACAGACAGACAGACAGACAGACAGACAGACAGACAGACAGACAGACAGACAGACAGACAGACAGACAGACAGACAGACAGACAGACAGACAGACAGACAGACAGACAGACAGACAGACAGACAGACAGACAGACAGACAGACAGACAGACAGACAGACAGACAGACAGACAGACAGACAGACAGACAGACAGACAGACAGACAGACAGACAGACAGACAGACAGACAGACAGACAGACAGACAGACAGACAGACAGACAGACAGACAGACAGACAGACAGACAGACAGACAGACAGACAGACAGACAGACAGACAGACAGACAGACAGACAGACAGACAGACAGACAGACAGACAGACAGACAGACAGACAGACAGACAGACAGACAGACAGACAGACAGACAGACAGACAGACAGACAGACAGACAGACAGACAGACAGACAGACAGACAGACAGACAGACAGACAGACAGACAGACAGACAGACAGACAGACAGACAGACAGACAGACAGACAGACAGACAGACAGACAGACAGACAGACAGACAGACAGACAGACAGACAGACAGACAGACAGACAGACAGACAGACAGACAGACGGAGACCTTGGCTGGCCGGCGGGTCGGCCACCTGTAATACCGCCGAGCTCTGCCGTCTCCTCGTTTGCGATGTCCGTCGTTTGCGCCGGCGGTCGTCAGTGTCACTGCCATCCTGTGCGATGGTCCGAAACTAATCCACCCCTGAACCACATCTGAGCCGCCGTCAAGTTAATTTAGAGAAAAGAGCGACACTGGCCTTGATGGCTGGCTCACCCCAGGCTCACCCTCTCTTCTACCTCCCTCTCCCCCATTGGCTCATCTCTTTCCGTCCTACCCCCCGGGTAACAAAGATAAAACAGCGCCCCAACCATTTTTACGTTCAAATATGCTATTGGTATTGATTTTCATTACATGGACATGCAGTGCAACGTGTCTTATATCTAAAGAAGATATAAAGAATAACTTAGATGTGAAGTCTTGAAGAGTCAAGGCGCCCCAATCTGTTTCTCCTTCCTTGGAATCGTTTATCAACAGATTAAATTTCCATTTCTCACTTTGCGATCCGTCGCCTACCTATGTATATCTACATAGATTTAGAATCTGAACATGGGTGTTCCGAGCGTTCAGTCATTATTCTTTGACACTCACATCTTGTATATCCATCCTGAAACAAGGCAAGGGTGTGAATGCAGATCAGCCCATCGGCATTCTTTCGAACGCCCTATGCGGGACGTTTTTATGAGGATGTTCTTAGGCGATTGTTCGAGGCGGCTTCTGGCATCATTTGGGGTCTTAGGATGTCATCATGTGAAAACTTCATGTAAATAAGCTGTTCAGAAAGGTGCCTCTACGGCACCGTTTAAGCCTCTCAAACGCCGCCAGAATCGATGCCGACGACATCAGCATGCAAAAACAAACATTTTGCGTTCAAACTTTGCATACGCTCCGGCAGAATGTATGACTATGCTCATTTGGCTCGAGCCGTTTCACCAAGATTGATGCCATCATTTTGTTGGAAGTTGGCTGCAAATGTTTTCTGTCAAGCGCCGACAAAATTGCGAGGGAATAGGGCTCACTGCGAAAGGAAAGATCACATTGTTTCTGTTTGTTCACCAAATCGAAACCATGCAGATATGTAATTGGGAACTGCAACAGATTTATCTTGTTCCTGTTACATTTGTCAGTTCAATTATTACGCCAATTAAAGCGCGTTTTCCTCTTAAATGTTACGGTCGCCACTCGCCATATGGAGATCAATGGCAATCGATGGAAGAAACATGTGACTAGATGCTGTATTATTTGTGTTTCTTTTTTAATTCTTTCTTTCTTCCTTGATTGGATGGTCTGAAATCACTTTTGTGTTCACATTTCTCATTTCAAATCTCAATCACAAATCACATTTCAAATCGTACCATTTTTGTCATGTAGGGTTGGTTCATATATCAGGGCTCAGGTGAAAACAATTCTCTAAAAATTGCGGCTGTATTCCCGCCTAACTAACTTTAACCCTCGCCGGCACAGGCCATTTCGCGTCCTTCGACGGCACAAGGTGGGGGGGGGGGGGGTACGACCCCCCTCGCGTTTGGCCCCTGATCGAGCTAGAGCTTCGCGGAAAAAAACGAGCGTGCTGCCCGTCACGAGAGGAAGCCGATGATACCCAATTTTAAGGTCCTAGATCATCGGGTGACCTTCCAGATCAGGTCAATGACCCGATAACCGGGAAAATCGGGATCTGTTAGAAAGTCGTAAAGTGTGGCTGCTATGTGGTTTTCCGGGGTGCTGATCACGAATAACGTGTTAGTTTTGATCAGAGATGATGTCTTTAAGCATTTAGACCAGGTCGGGTCAGGTCAGGTCAGGTCAACCGGTAGGGGTTGTGACGGGTATTCGTAACACGTGTCAACCGACTCTGACAGCTTCGTAACATGTTACGAAGGCACCAAAACTACTTCGTAAATGTTCAAATGGCTGCTAAATTCGAATTCAGCTCCAAAAACTAGCCTAGCAACATGTAAAACTCGAAAAAGTGAGCCGAGGTCACCCGAGGTCACCAAAGGTCAATGACCTGACCTGACCTTCAGGTGACCTTGACACCCACCCTTATGTATGGGAGCAACATCAAATCACATGTTTGAACGTTTGAAACCACGAAAAGCTTGCAAACGCGCGGCTAATGCGAGCCGACATACGCCGAATCGCGATTCCGGCCAAACATGGTCTCGGAAAAGAGGTCACAGGTCAAAGGTCATTTAGGTCAGGGTCATGAAATTCTCAGGGTAGGTGTAAAATTGATCGATGCGAGGGTACTGAAAGTTTCGCCTCGATCGGCCGCTTTTTACGCGAGTTATTCGCGAAAAGCCTTAGGGGGGCTGCATCAACCCCCCCCCCCCCCTGTGCCGGCGAGGGTTAAGGTAGAAAGACTCTTTCGACATTCAGGAAATCGCATACGAGAGCCTATTCAAATGCCCTATAATTCTTCCCGCATCAATCGCATGAGGGATATGCGTGCGATTGAGGCGAGCGTGCTTCCATGTATTTGAAAAGGCTCTCGCATGCGATTTCCTGACAGCTGACTGCGGAAAGAGTCTGTTTCAGGCTTTACTCGAATTCCGACTTGAACATTCCCTATATCTCATTGAAAACCTCGACCGCGCGTGACACATGCTTTACACATTGGTGGTGGTGTGTTTCCTGTTGAAGCTTTCTCCTTTGGCTTAGTGCCAAGCTTGTCTCGGCTTCAATCGCCCGAGGGCAAAGGTCACAGGAGGACATGAACTCGCGCTACCCCTCCCCACCAATCCGCGCGCTGGAGTGTCAACTATCTGGGGGGGTTAGAGATCATGTGACACGCGAAATGCAATCTGAACGCATCACGTCAGAGATCATGTGATGCGTTCCGAGACTGGCATTGGGGGCCTGAGGTGGTGTGGGCTGGGGAGTGGGGACACTGGGGGACACCTTGTCACTGTAGTCACTGGACGCAGTCGTTTAGTGAGGACGGACGGTGGGAACTGTGCGCGACCCTCATAGACCTTGACCGTGCAACTGGGTTTCTTTGCTGTATTCCAAACTGATATATGTGATATATGTGATATTAGTGTGTGATATATGTGAAGCGTAATGGAGTTCCAGCTTTCCTTGAGTGAAAAAAAAAACAAGCGGCAGAGCGATGTCAACCCTCGTACAGCCGAAGTCATGGACTCCTTAGTCCTTACTGACCGTGGGTGAGAAAAGGTGATAAAAATGGAGAAGTGAAATATATGGAAATGAAAACGACGGTTATGCTGAATTCATCCGGCTCAACATCAGGTGAGTCCAATGGCATGTCTTCAGTTGTTTTATGCGGCCCATTCTGATAAAAATAAGTAGTTAGGATTTTAAATAACCTTTTCCTCGATAATTAATTGGAAATTCAATAAAAAGTAAATATTATATCTACATATATCAAGATGTTCTGTTCCTCGCTAGAGCACTGCATACTATTTCTGATAAAAATAAGTTCAACTTTGTGTTATGGGGAGTATTCAATGGGTCCACCGTCCAACCGCCAGAGTGAGTTGCAACTTCGATGCCAAATCCCAAGTATTTTGAAATGTTGGTGACTATTTTAAATCAATGAGCCACAGAAGGGTCGTTGTGATCCGAGTATTGTGTCGTAGTGTAGATGTAATCATCTTTCAAGCATGATACTAAACTAGTCTACAAAGTGCAAATGACTGCAAAATTGGTCTTTTATCTACTGACTGCCTAGAACTAGAACTTATACGAAATGGGCGACGAACCGGTTTGTACTTTGAATTTGCATCGCTACCTCAGTCAGTTGTTTACTCGAATTGGACTTTTTAACCTCGAAGTAAATTAAATCTACCATGCTATTTTTTTCCTGTTAGCAAAGCCGAACATCCGTTCGAGAAAACAAAATCGAGGACACTGTTAACCATAATCATTTTTGGATGCAGCAAAACGGATGGAGCGAAAGGTGAGATAGGAGTTTCGTTCCAGCTGTGAATACTCTGATAATTAACACAATTGACAATATTCAATCATTCAATATAAAACCGTTTATCCGAATTATACGTAAGTCCTCTTGGCCATTTCGTCGTTTCATGGCTCTATTCGCCAAAGCCGCATTGATATTATGAATAAATCATCAGCATTAAACACGCAAGTAAATGTTTTTGTTGTATTTTAGCGTTCAACGGGTATAGGTATGTTATGTATCACATATCGACAAGTGCTTAAATAAATTAGAATGGGTGAAGGCGACGCTGTCAAAATGCGTTCCGGAGTAAGTTTTGGACAGTTGCATGAGTAGCAAAATGCACATATGAATTACGCAGACCACCTTACATCGTGCTGACATAGCTACTATTTTTCAGCCGCGGTATCCGCCATATCCGCCGTATCCACCGTGTCCACCGCCGTATCCACCGCCGTATCCGCCGTGTCCACCGCCGTATCCACCGCCGTATCCACCACCGTATCCGCCGTGTCCGTAGCCTCCGCGGTGACCTCCGTAGCCTCCACGGTGACCTCCGTAGCCTCCACGGTGACCTCCGAAGCCTCCACGGTGACCTCCATGGCCATAGCCTCCTCCGGGGGCAGCCAGGGCGGCGGCCACCAGGGCACAGAGCAGCACGATCCGAGAGAAGGTTCTCATGGTGTGTGTTCGCTGTTGGGGCGAGCCGAGGTGTGAATGACTGGCCGCTCGCTGCCCGACACTATATAGTCGGCAGGTGACCGTGGTGACCGGTGACGTTACGGAACGTGCCGTGACACGACACAACTACCGGGGAGCGTGATTTTTGCCGAGATTTGGGGCACGTGTGGGGACTGCCACACCCTCATATTATGTATAGGTTACCTGAGCCACAAATGTCTTTTTTAAGCTTTTATTCTCCACAGAATCCTACTGATGGAAGATTTTCTGGTGGTGTTCTAATTCCTTTTGCAGGTTTCTGCAGTCGGCATACCTTTGGGACACATCTAGCAGAGAGCCATTTTGGTAATGACTGCAATTCTTTTGTTCCAGATAAAGCAGCTTATGTTTGTATTGCTGTTTAGTAGCAATAGCGAGTGTAGGTATTGAGTATGTGTGTGATTTTGAGGAGTGTTTAACGCTGAATAGGCAGGAGACAGATATGCAGTGAACGAGCCTTGCCAGCCTTTGTTCGTCAACCATTTACACTCAACACTTCATTCGGAATTCTATTACATTTTTGTCGCTTAATGATTTGTTTAATAATCGAGGTAAGGGCAGCATGGTGTTTGCCTCGCTCAGGCGCGTCGAATGATACCTATACTTTTTGTTTGGGTCAGGTCAACTTAGGGTGTTGACTCCAGGTCACGGACAGGTCAGCGCCCCCAGGTCACGAAGTTGGTCGGAAGAGGTCATGTCGCATATCATTCGATTCGGCAGGCTTTCCTGAGTACATTGGTGGCTTTCCCGACTCGCTAGCTCAATTTGATATAGGGATTTATTGACGAAAAACTAGTATGACCTTGATGACGTCATAAATGATGTCACGCAAGGTCAAAATTGTAAAAGTGACGCATCTAACCTTGCACGGAGTGCATCAACGATTCTGTGTGCTTGAGATAGTTGGGGATCGTTCCCGTCGCCAGAATAGCAGTTTTCATTTTTCCCCATTGACTTATAATGGTGAGGTCACGAAAATGACCTGACCTCATATGACCTTAAGAAAAAATCCGAGATATACAAGTTGTGAGACTCATAATGGATACTAGATCCTGCAAGTTTCATTTCCCTGTAACATCTCCTCTGGCAGTGAGGGCGTTGCGAAGTTGCGACATCTGAAGACCGTGCAGAGGTTCACTTATGACGTCATAGGTCAGTGACCTGACCTCACCCAAAAATGCGGTTGGTGTCAAAAGATCTGGCTTGAATCAAAGGTCAGGTATGCCAAGTTTCAGCTCTCTATCTCTAGCGTGTTCGCAGCTATCGCGAAACAACCCCCGGGGGGGGGGGGCGGCACCCCCCATCGGCCGGCGAGGGTTAAATTATGTACAAAAATTAGACCCAAGACCGTGGGTGTTTCTCAACTTTATGGTGGACCGTGCCTTTTCAAGTTCACAGTCGATTAATTTTGATGTGATGGCGATTCTTACCGAGATAATGCGGAGCGCGCCAGTGACTCCGTTATTTTCATTCAGTTTCTGATCGCTTCAGTGGGTATTATTATAATACGTTGACCCAATATGGAGCGACTGGCCAACCTATGCTTCTGTTTTCAAAAGTGACAGTCAACTCTGGCATTCACAGTCACAACCTACGTAAAGCTCAGATTAATTTAGACGGTCACGCACCGGTGCCAGCTGAGGTATAGGCAACAACACTTTCGCTAACTCAGCGCCAGACGTTGACCATTAACCACGGCTCCAGTCAGTGTAAAAAGCTGGGAGCAAGTTCAGGGCCGTACTGAAAGAACACACACTGAGCGAATCCAAACTGGGTGCGCCCTGATTCATTATAGAGTGTTGAAGAGCATGTAATGACTTATGTTTTGATCACCCTGTGGCTAGGATGTTTTAGCATGTTTATATATTTGATGGCATTTGCATGAAACGCCAGGTCTTTGTGAATATAGAAGAATAGTATTTAGGAGTTGTCAACTGTATTTACGATGCCCTCATTCCAGTCCTTAGCCTAGAAACCTTCATGCAAACCTAGAAATCGGCTAACTATTTCCTATTTTGATTGCAAGACGTGAAGTTGTTTCTGAATGTAACCGACTGTGAATGAGACAAATTGAGAAGTACGCAACTGGCGTGGCTTTCTCTGCTGTTCGTATTATTGGGGTAGGTTATCTAATAACCAGTATATTGTTAAAATAATGTTCGGGGGCTTTCGCCCGGAGACAAAAGTTGCATTAAAAAGTCTAAATGAAAGATCCAAAGGCAAAAACATGGTGGCAATCGATGAAATACAAGCGTAGTTTCTGGTGTTTTCAGGATCTCTAAACAAAATAAAGATCCACAAAGATCCTATCACTGGATGGTAAGGGGAGAATGATCTGGGTATTCTGGCACAGACCTGAATGTGACGTGCTTTTAAACGGAGCTATGGAAACTATTACAGTAACACAGGATAAAAATTGGGATGTGGAACTTTCATTCCTCTGCCATGCGTTCCGCTTTCGAAGTGGGGCGTTGGACATTGGACACTGACCGAGTATTTTATCACTGAATTAGATTTGTGCGTTTGGGTGTCCTTCAGAGCAGGGTGTGGCGGTCCACCCCCGAACTTCTGGAAAATCCGTGCTCTCCGCGGCTGTCGTGTCGTGTCACGGCACGACCCGTGACGTCATCACGGTCACCTGCCGACTATATAGTGTCGGTCAGCGAGCGGCCAGTCATTCACACCCCGGCTCGCCCCAACAGCGAACACACACCATGAGAACCTTCTTTCTGATCGTGCTGCTCTGTGCCCTGGCGGCCGCCGCCCTGGCTGCCCCCGGTGGAGGCTATGGCTATGGAGGTCACCGTGGAGGCTACGGAGGTCACCGTGGAGGCTACGGACACGGCGGATACGGTGGTGGACACGGCGGATACGGTGGTGGATACGGCGGATACGGCGGTGGATACGGTGGACACGGCGGACACGGGGGCGGATACGGCGGCGGATATGGCGGCGGATACGGCGGCGGATACGGCGGATACGGTGGTGGATACGGCGGCGGATACGGCGGATACGGTGGTGGATATGGTGGATACCACGGCTAGAAAATAGTGCTCGGGGCTCCCATGAAGCGCCTTTCAGTATGTGGACCAATAGTTCACAATACTCTGTGTCCATATTCATTGGTCGTGCATGATCCCTCACGATACCTATCAATTGTAAATAGAATATATAATGTTTCGTCATCGGTGTGTACCTACCTAGAAATCAATCGAATGCTTGGAAGCAAAAGTAATGAATAATTGTCTGATGCTTATAGCCCTGCTTAACAATGATGGGCGCACACCTGCAGTTACTTCGAGTCCAATATATACAAATCAGACTTGTTCTCGGCGATTAAACAGCAAATATCCATTAGTAGTTGAGAAAGGTACTGTTAATTTGCCCTCCTTTTATGTTAGCTGCAAAACTGCGGACTGATGAAACACCTTTTCACTTACGCATGGAACTTCTTCGGTAGGAATGACACTCCAAATTTCGTCTACTTTTCATAAGTGAGTTGACCCGCGCCCCGCTGGGGGGGGGGGAGGGGGCAGAATGTGTCGTGTGTATTCCTCCTCCCGTGTATTTCCTCCCGTGTTTCACCAATATCTTTTAAACGTACATGCTTTAAGCTAGCATACGTCAATCTTGCGTTGCCTTATTCATGAAATGGACGTGATCACTGAAAAATTTCAACGAAATTTGTTGGAAGGTTTTATGAAAAATGTATTTTAGTTACATCATATATATATATCATGCCACGCCTTTTTCGCTTCAAAAACCCGAAAATTGCAAGCGCGTCTAGCATCTTCAGTTTTTAACCACACAAGACGTAACAAAAGGCATGTGTGTGATTTGGCTCTGTCTTTCAAATGGCTTTCTGATTTTCGCGAAAATTTTGGATTTTGACCCAAAAGTCTTTAAAGAACTTTATTTTGGAGGATTTTTTTGCAATCCAAAATTTTGAGCCCGGAAAAAAAAAAACAGAACAAATATCGGAGAACTATTAAGAATCTTCATTGCAATATCCTGACAAATGTAGGAAAGTAGGAATGAAGGCAGAAAAATGTAGGAATTATTGATATTTTATTAACATCACGGCACACAAAATTTAAAAACATGTTTTTATCTTGAAGGAGTAGTATAGACTAGACAGTATAGACCTCGGACAGCAATAGAAATCTGAAATAGCGCCATTCGATTCGTCGTGAAAAAATGCATCAGATGCACCTTTTTTGGTCTTAGCAACCAACTTCAAAATGTGAACTCACTTGACCTGACCTTGGCCCTGAGCTTGACATGAACTTCATCCAAGTATGGTGCATATCACTAGATGTATTTGCCATTGAGTTCTATGCGTGAAATGACCCATAAAACACGTGTCTCACATATCCTATTCGTTATAGTTCGCCTTTGGCGATCTGACCAAGCCCTTACTTTGACCTTTGCGTGAGATTGCATGCAACGCGTCTTGTTTTGGTAGGCTAAGAACGTGTTTTAAGTGGTCAATCTCAGTCTTCACCAACTGCGCCCCGAAGCCAGTTATGTAGAGACGTGCAGTTCTTACAATTAACCTGGCCTTGACCTGACCTGTGACCTACTAAGGCAAAATGATATAGGTACTTTCGATTGTCGTTTTTCCCGTCTTTCTATGTCAGACCATTTGTTCGGAAATTAGACGGGAGAGGAGGAGGCAGTATCCACCCAGACGCGTATGGCTGAATAATGAACAGCCCAGTGTGTGTGTGTAGGGTGGGGATTTAAGTGCCAGCCAAGAAGGGTTAGTTGAGCTTATTTTATGCAGTCCGGCATTTCAAAGAAAATTACGATAAGTTAGCGCGAATGGAAAGAAACTGTTTCATAATTATTTTACTAATGTCACATATAACACAGGTGCACCTTCAGTCCCTCGGCATTCACCATTATTTCATTTGAAGCATCAACACCGTGACGAATGTCCACATTGGATATCTACAAGAGTACACGCAAGTCAACAACCGGCTTGAAGACGGGCTTACGAAGCTCTTCACAACTCTTCAACAGATTTCAGTTACATTTCTGCCAAACGTTCAAAGCACCAAAGCCAGCGTCCGTTGGGAAGGCCGGCACCGCCGGCGCCGGTTCGCGACAGGCTAGCTGGGCGTCTCAGCCAGGGAGCCGGGTCGCGTCGCATTACCGTTTTGACCTCGTCGCCAGTGGACATGGGCGCGGGAGCCGGGGGGGGGGGGGCAGTGGGGGCAGTCTGTCCCCTAAACCTTGGGGCCGTGGGGGCGCTGCCCTCGCAACTTTTCATAGGGCTGGAACCGTCGGGGCAGCTTGTGCTAAGTGACTTTGCGGTTGGATCTCAAAAGAAAACTTAATGGAAGAAAACATATAAGTTAAAAAAAAATCCCCATCTGCACCTGGCTTAACAGCTATGTGGCAGCTTTGAACCTTTATTGCTGGATACCAAAAAGGTAGTTTCTTGACTCAACTGGGAGGAAACATATCACTTTTTTGCAAATGTTTTCGTTTTGTTCTTTTCGTGTAAAAGGCCAAGGGGTGAAAAATAAGTGGCCTTAAACCGGTGAGAAAACTATAGGTTTAGGGATACCCGGGGTTCCGGGAAGGATCAAGTGATACCCCCTCCCCCACCCCAGCCTGAAAGTAGTTCTGGCGCCCTTGCTAGTGGATGCAAGACTACAGTCCCAAGCAGTTGTATCCGCTATATTTATTTGTTGTATTCACAGTACACACAAGACCTTGTGACAAATAGAGAGCATGGGACTCTAGGTAGCCAGGGCCCTCATGCTGTTGAAAGACAATCATAAGCGACGTTGCACTTCGGACTGTTACAGTCCTTTCTAGCCGTGGTATCCGCCGTATCCGTAGCCTCCGCGATGACCTCCGTAGCCTCCGCGGTGACCTCCGTAGCCTCCACGGTGACCTCCGTAGCCTCCACGGTAACCTCCGTAGCCTCCGCGGTGACCTCCGTAGCCTCCGCGGTGACCTCCGTAGCCTCCGCGGTGACCTCCGTAACCTCCGCGGTGACCTCCGTAGCCTCCGCGGTGACCTCCGTAGCCATAGCCTCCACCGGGGGCAGCCAGGGCGGCGGCCACCAGGGCACAGAGCAGCACGATCAGAGAGAGGGTCCTCATGGTGTGTGTTCGCTGTCGGGGCGAGCCGGGGTGTGAATGACTGGCCGCTCGCTGACCGTCACTATATAGTCGGCAGGTGACCGTGGTGACGTCACAGGTCGTGCGGTGACACGACACGACACCCGGGGAGCGTGGACTTGGCCGAAATTCGTGAGATGGGGGGCTGGCGGTGACCGCCGCGCCCTCATTTTACCTAGGACAGTCCCGACAACCGAACACGCAATTATCGCTGGTGAGCAATGTTCGTATGTCTCTTCATTCTCCATTTATAAAACATGTAGAAATATTGATTTTCGATGAAACCTGAATGATACTTTTTTGCTACCAGCCTATTTCTTTTGCGAGATTCCTTTTTAGGACAGCGAGCAAAAAAACTATTGAAAATTTGTATAGTAAGAAGTTTTCAGACAGAGCTGTCGATAGCGCTGTATTTGCCTAATGACGTATACTTGAGGTTAATAAATTATGGATGCCAATAGAAAGATTTTCAATAGTCATATTGCCTCATTGTGTTTGCTCTAGTTATTTTATGGTATTTGTGGGAGAGGTTTGATAAGTTGCCATTAGCCGTGCATAGATACCTGGGCAAGTATATAAACGAGTATTTCAACATCAGCCACAATCCGTTTATTGCGCGCCTGATTTTAGTTCGTGTACGAGTACTTGAGGTAAATGTCATCCGAAATCGCTGTGAACTGGCCGCGATATATTGTCTATGTTTCGTTTATGTTATGGTTTAGCATATTTATTTCAATGGAAAGGTGTTACAATTAACTATGGTGAGCAACTATATGATCACTGAAGAAGAGTAAATCTATTAGGGCCCTGTAAGCGCCTGATGACTGACTTTTTACGTGCACATCAACTGTATTTTGAGGGTGTTGGCCAACTTTGGCATGGTTGGGGGGGGGGGGTCCAAAGCCAACTACCTCGACAACTAGTAGAGTAAAAAAGACGCAGAGAAAAATATCGTTTGCTCTTGACAACCGTTTTGAAAGTATACAGATCATTTTTCGCTGAGGCCAATACTGAGTACAATGTACCCACATATATCATCAGAGATCAAATATTCCCGAGTTCACCACTTTTGGATAAATCGGAACATATGTAACTTATGAATCATAATGTTTCTTCATATTTGATCTAAGCCAACGATGCATCAAAAGTATGAGATTAACTAATTAGCATTGCCAGGATTGCATTTTAAGAGACAAGAGTACTTAAACCGCGCCCCAGTGGCGCTCTCAGCCAGCTTCGCCCTAGTGGGGGAGGGGGAGGGGGCATCTATGGGGGGCATATGTTACCACCCTCCTCTAACTCAAAAACTAAGAGGGCTAGAAAGACGCGGTAAAAAGCAGTCGATAGCTCTCGATGCATACGTTTGAAAGTATGTTAGTCATTTTTCATCTTAGAGCAATATTGGGGTCACCAGAGGTCACCAAAGGTCAAAATTTGCCAAATGTAATTTCATTTTTCAGAACACATGCAGTTATCTCAGGAACTATGATAGCTAGAAAAACGCATGGAAAAGAAATCGATAGCTTTTGACCTTTTCTTTTGATAATGTCATCATCAAAATTAACCTCAGGTCAACGGTTAAGGCTCCATAGGTCAAACATTGTGAAAGTAGCTGTTTTTTATAAAACTTTTTTCACGAATAACCTTTGAACCAGCAAAGATGAAGAGTTCGCGATGGCACTATCGTGTTTCTCTCATTCAGCCGCTTCAAAACATATATTTTTTTACCTGGAAAGGTCAAGGTCACGTGGTGACCCAAATAGGTACTTTTGCATATTTTTCGATGTGTTTCGACAAGACAAACACAATGAAGCCATCCCCAGCGTTCTATCTTTTTCCAATCGGGAGTTATTGGCAAATATCTTTTTGTAGCGTCAAATGACCTAGGATGACCTTTGTAGAGGCTATCAGCAAAAAAGACACCTGGTCGTCACAGATGGTCCATGTCATTGTGATTCTGAAATATTTGGACTGTTCCTATGCGTACACACGGATCTAGAGGCATTTTCATTTTTCTCCAATGACTTATAATGGAAAGGTCACGCCACTTTCCTGACCTTAGGTCACGGATATAAAAAACGAGGTATACAAATTATACTTTATAGGTGCCCATAACATCATGCAATCCACTAAGTTTGAAACGTCTCTGACAAGCACTGCAGGCTGGACATTATTGCAAACTTTTTTAGACTTGGTCAGTTAACTTGACCTGGTGACTTGACCTGACATGACCTGGGGTCAAAAATTTCACACATTGTCCAACATTGATGAACAGAAAGATACTCCAAGCGGCGCGGCGCGTAGCGCCCGGTTTTTTATTCACACGCAAGAAACGCGACAGGGTGGTAACATATGCCCCCCCCCCCCCCACTGGGGCGAAGGTTAACTTGAACTGGTGAGTGGTGACCCGACCTAAGGCGACCTGGGGTCAACATTTTAGCACGGAAGTGATATGAATGTATTTTAAGCAATGCCAACTTTCGTTGATCTACGTGCCACGATGTTTCCCACAAACACAGAAGGAAAACTAGAAAATGTGGCCCGAAAATCCCCAAATCAACCAACCTGAGCGAAGCATACTCGTAGTTATAGGTTAAGCAATACCCCATTGAAACGCTGCAATAGTTGACTGCTTTTGGATTTTACAGTCGTTTTTGTGCACAATACGACGAGATATTTGGGATAAGACAGCTGATATTAAAAACGGACTAGCAGCTCAAATGGGCAATGAGAAAAAAAAACACGGTTTGCACAAAATCAGGGTTCAAAGGGCAAAATACGAGTTCTGTCTCCAGTTTCATAACCATTCATCGGTTCAATGCGTCGACCTTTTGACTGCGCGCATGCTCCCCGGGTGCCGTTTCTTGCCACGGCACGACCTGTGACGTCACCACGGTCACCTGCCGACTATATAGTGACGGTCAGCGAGCGGCCAGTCATTCACACCCCGGCTCGCCCCGACAGCTAACACACACCATGAGGACCTTCTCTCTGATCGTGCTGCTCTTTGCCCTGGTGGCCGCCGCCCTGGCTGCCCCCGGTGGAGGCTATGGCCATGGAGGTCACCGTGGAGGCTACGGAGGTCACCGTGGAGGCTACGGAGGTCACCGTGGAGGCTACGGAGGTCACCGCGGGGGCTACGGAGGTCACCGTGGGGGCTACGGAGGTCACCGCGGAGGCTACGGAGGTCACCGCGGAGGCTACGGAGGTCACCGTGGAGGCTACGGAGGTTACCGTGGAGGCTACGGAGGTCACCGCGGAGGCTACGGAGGTCATCATGGAGGCTACGGACACGGTGGATACGGCGGATACGGCGGATACCACGGCTAGATTTCATTTGTAACCAGTATCTAAAGAGTGTGCCTTATGAATCTATAAAATATACATATATAGCCCGCATCGTGGCAAATTTGTGTTTTGCAAATGACTACATAGAGATGATGACTGCATGCAGATATCTGATACAGTTTTCTCAAGTGTGCTGTTCTCTTCATTTTTATATGTTCATCAACGAAACTGTATTACCAACTGTCCTGCAGGGCGACCAATAACGGCCTATGTCTCAGCGGCCTTTAATAAATAAGCCGAAAATTCTACTTGATGGACAAACAGTTATTGTCTTGATTCATCAAACATTAGCCGCGTTTACATAGGGCTAGTTGCCAGATAGTGGAATTCCACTAACGAGACATTTTTTCCACTAACGAGACATTTCAGGCACCTTCAGATAATTCTGACGACCTATCCGGCCAGAAGGACCAAACCGATTGACAAAAATAAATACATCGTGGCGGATGAACACTAAAGAGGTACTTCAGGCCTAGACATAGTATAGATGTCGCAACTCGCGGCCTTCCCGGCAGTAAGGGCGAGATATAGATGACGCTTCTGCAGCAAGTCACTGGAACGTACGAGTCGTGGAATGGAACGGAAGATACGGAACGGGGGCTTCTTAACGGAAGCTTATTCGTTTTATTTTCATTTAAGAATTGATTTCGTGCGCTAGGGAAAGAACATTGTCTTCTTTTTTCTTACGTCTGCACCCCCCCGTCCCTTCCATCCTTTGGATCAGCCAGTGTGCAGCAAGAGGGTTCATCGGAGAAAAACAACAAAGAGCAATCCTCCCTGAGCCTGTCAGGTCAGAAATAACCTGAGCATAGGCGGCGGAATGGGGAGGGCACCGGGGCACCGTGCCCCCCTTTGATTTTGGCATTTTAACATTAGCCCTATGGGCGCTGCATGGAAAAAATGGGACCAAAAGTCGGCGGTGCCCCCCCCCCCCTTAATTGAAGGTGCTACGCGGCTACTGAACCTGATGACCGTTCGTTATGCCCTACTGCCCACGCTTCTTAACATTTCAGTAGTAGTCAGTTATCTGGCCAATGTTTCCGTATAGGGGTTGGCAAACACAACTGAGCCTCGTGAGTGGGATGAGTACTGGACACAGAAGTGGACAATCTGTTGGCAAGGAGCCCGCAAGGATAATATCTCGAAACTCAGGACTACGTATACAAACACTTTAAAATCATCTAAATCTATACTATAATCGAAAGCCGCATTGTTGTGAACTACCGGCACGTGCGTCCAATCACCATCAAGAACGGAAGTCCGACCTACAGCAAGCACGACAGTCCGATCATAGATGTATTGAAAAATAACTAGCAACTTTAAACATCGCCTTCCTCAGCCACGCTCTACACCGCATCACATAAGAAAACCGCCAATATCGATTACAAAACACACATAAAGGAATTTCGTAGGTAGAGATCAGAGGAATACTTCACCTCCTTTATCTGGCGCGTCAATAAGTATAAAGTAATCTTTGGCGTCTACGCACTAGCAACATCTATAATGCAAACAGCAGTTCAGAAACCATCCACTAAAATTGCAACAAGGCAAGGGTTGGTCAAAATAAATTATAGTCACCGTGATAAATAGCAAACGAAATACAGAACAAGCAAGCACAACAAAGCATTCCACACTCGTTTAGACTGTACCTACCATATGCCTACATAAGACATTGCAGCAGTGTACAAGGGAAACATTCTTTAAAGATGCTAACGTGAGGAGTTTTAAAAGTTTGGTGAACATAGTTACGAGTCACTGCACAAGAAATGTCGCGGTCGCCAGCCGGCCCAGGCGAAAGAGTCGACGGAGACGGCGTCAAACAAACCCGAGAGGGGGTAGTTTCATCCGCATCAGCGGAGGCGCTCTCTCTGTTAAGGTCGTCAGTTACCAGCCGCAGCACCCTGCTGGCGATTTGATAGCTGCTCTCATTCTCAGCTGGCTGAGCGCCATGTGCCGGGTCATCCGGCTCCATGATTTCCCCTTTCATTAGCAGCTGCTGTTGTAGTTATTGTTGTTGCGTTCCTTTCAGCTGCTGCGGCAGCAGAGCCGTACGGTTCTGGATGGTTCTCACGGCGGCAGCCAGGGTCACCAAATCCGTCTCCCCGTAGCCACACCAGACTCGGGAAAATGTACCGAGATGTACCGAGCCAATGTTGCAGCACTCGCGGCATTCATCGGTAGGACTCCGCCCAACCCAATGTCGGCACTGGCAGGAGCCCGACCAGTGGTCCAAGCGAAACTGATGAAAATCGACAGCTGATGAGCGGTCCTCCACTGACGCCGGACGGGTGGCGACGGCGCGGCCGGTCCTGGAGCTGGAACAGCAGAATGGACCGGATAGACGGCGGTCGACCCATATCGACCGGTACCATCCGTCCGGCCAGCTCCTCCAACACCGCTCTTAGGGCGAATAGCTCGCCGCGCGTGCTAGAGCAGAGGGCGCCTGCCGCGACACGCACCTCTCGGATGTCGCGGTTCGGGGGGGGGTGGCCCCCCCTCCTCCATCTAGCACACCATCGGTGGCGGAGCTGTCTGACCAGATCAAGCTCGCCTCAGACGGGAGCTCCGCCAGACGACTTTCCGCCGCCTTGGCTCGCCAGCCGTCGCGCCCAAACTCGCTTCAGGCCGTGAGTCTATAGCCGGCGCGGTGGCGTGGCTTCGCCATGGTAGCCTTGGGCGGGTTGTCCTCAGAGAACGCATTCGCATTGGCGAGGAGGCGAGCAGCGCCACGAGTCCTGAAAAGACCAAACAATATCAATAGACAATCAAAACTGTAAAAATTGGCATTAACTGCGCAACTGATGTTTGCTTGTTTGTTTATTAGGGTTTACGGGCGCTGCGGTGGTCATTTTGCACCCATGAAGCTGTTCTGGTGAACCTGCGCAACTGAGCAGTGATCATGCTATAACTTATGTTTGGCGTAGTACCAGGGTTCCACCTAAAATTTCGGCGCACGTCAGGTGTAACGTCACATGCGACAAATTCAGCGCATGTCAGTTGGGCAAACTAAGGCTGATGGAATAATATAAAACGAGGGCACCAACAATTGATCCTAAATGACCATACTTGGACATTAATGCAGACCCTCTCTGTATCACCAATTGTCAGAAAACAAGCGGTTTCAAGGAGCGTTAGAGAGTCATGAAGCCAGGATAAAACACAGTGCTATTTTCTAAAAACAGTTTTTACATGATAGAGTTAGGCAACTCTCTCCCTCTCTCTCCGTTTACCATTCGCAAGGCCAAAAAGGCCAATTGGTTTTGAAAGACATTGGATTACAAGCTGAGAATTTTTTACTTTATCATAAAATGTTAACCCGCGCACCGACGGGGGTCTGCGCCAACTTCGCACCGACGGGGGGGGGGGGGGCGGATGACCGCCCCCCCCCCTGAGATCTCGAGAACGAAGCAAGATAGCGACAAGCGGTAGACGGCATCGGATACGCACGGCCAAGATCTACAATTTTTACTAAGGTCATTTTCAGGTCAGGTCAAAGATGACGTCACAGGGGTCGAAAAAGTCAAAATGGCGGCGCTAGATATGGAGAGAGTTTTTCTCGAATAACTTTCGAATTAGTCAAGATAGGAACAAACTAAGGGCATCATCGTGATCCTCTCGTCAATCCGCATCGAATGATGTATATGTTGACCTCGAAAGGTCAAGGTCAAAGGTTGACCTCAGGTCACGTGACCTCGAGGTCATCATGTATATCATTCGATGCGTCTTGACGAGCTGAACACAATGAGACCATCCACGCGTCTGTATCTTGTTCCTGTACGGAGTTATTGGCCAAAAACCTTTGGTGACCTTTGATGACGTCACATGACCTCACAGCTGCCCAACAGCAAAACAGACCTCAAGGTAGTGAAGGTTGATCGTATATGAAGTCATGTATGGTATATGGGGCCATTCCGACCCGTTTTAGTGGTAAAAACAGGGAGTTGATTTTTCCCTCATTGACTTATAATGGGGAGGTCGCGAAAATGACCTGACCTTAGGTCACCGATATCAAAATTCCGAGATATACAAATTGTAGATACTAATGACCTAATAATATCCTGCGACTTTCAAAGGCCTCAGACATCTACTGTAGCTCTGGCACGGGGACAAAGTTGCAAAAAAGTGACTTGAGGTTGGGTCATTCAAAGTGACCTGGTGACCTGACCTTAAAAGGTAGGAGGTTTAAACTTGCACACCATGTGTAAAATTGATGAGGTTATAGTCATACCAAATTTCGCGGCGCTACGCGCCGCGGTTTTCCCGCTATTCGCGAAAAACCTCAGGGGGGGCGGATATCCGCCCCCCCCCCGTCGGTGCGCGGGTTAAACCTGCGTGTAGATAAAGTCTGAACGGTGGTTTGTAGGCTGATAGGTTGGAGGTTGAAGGTTAGTAGGGAAGGTAAGGTCAGGATAATTTCTGCTTTTTATTTTCATTGGACTTCAGTCTTCATCAACACACGCATCAAAAATATCAGCTATTTGAGCATCTTCAAGCCTCAATCTACAAGTTGTACCACAAAAAAAAATAAAAATTGATGTCATGCCAACATATGGTCATGATTTTTACCACCAGAATTGAATTAAATGCCTATTGATGCTTTACCTAATATTTTGAAGCCTGAAATCTGATTAACCAAACATTTTTTTCTTGTGTTGGCAGTCTAAAATTTGGCTGGCTTGAGCGCGATGCTATTGCTCTAGCAGAATCTCAAACGGATGTCTACCAAGTGCCACTCCCAAGAAAGTTTTTCAAGATTCTAAAACCACAAACTTTGTTGCTGCCTGATCGTGTGATGGTAAATCAAATGATAGCACTCCGTCTGAGGCCAGTTTTACAAACAGAAAATAGCCACCTGCCGGATTATTTTGCCTAAAGGCTAATTCACATATGGAGTGTAGGTAAATGGTGAAGCCCTCACTGCTTACATGCCTATCGCGTTTACCCTCTGTATGTTGTACCTACGTGGAATGGATATATGAGGAGAAAAATTCCAGGCAGCTATTTTTGTTGGTAAATCGGGTAAAGTAAAACTGGCCTCTGAACGAAAATTTTGACTGAGTGAGATGTCGGCTCTTTGGTGGTTTGGATAGGAGTTGATGATTTTAATTGAAAGATTAAAAGGAAATGGCAGGGGCGCGGGAACTGCTTTCCGACTGGGGGGGCACACCATAATAGAGATCAACCTAGGGTACCCCCAAATCTAGTTTTCTCACCGGTTTTAGGCCACTTATTTTTCACCCCTCGGCTTTTTCAACAAAAAAGAAAACATTTGCAAAAAAAGTGTGGTATTCCGTCTCAAAGATGTGGGGGCACCGCCCCCACGGCCCCAGAGTTGGGGGGGCAAGCTGCCCCCACTGCCCCCCCCCCCCCGGCTCCCGCGCCTATGGGAAAGGGTTTCAAGACAATCGGCATGACAAACCAACACCTTACCTGCAGTTCAAGTTTGTCGATTTCTTCATCAAAATCTAGTCTTCGTCTAGTCCACAAATCAAGATAAAATTACTGGATAGGTACAACTTCTTCTTCTTCTTCTGCACCTCACCTGCCACCCCCTACACTTCTACCTTATTCTGATAAATATCTTTACATAATTTTCACAAGAATGCCACTCAACGGGGTAGATCTAAAAGAGTGCAGGGCTTAAGTTTTGAGCTACAGAGTTCTCAGTGATTTTGAGACACCCAATATGTCTTTGGCACGCCGTATTTGTCTCTCACCGCTTGCGAATTCGGCGATATGATTGGTCGAAGGCCGAGGCTATGGGTCCAAGAAAAGGCCAAGATTCCTGCCAAGATTCTTACAGATAGCCAAGACCGATGACTGACGTGACTGACGGCATGTTACTGCCCTTGGCATATTGTAAATGCACTGCTCCGTCATATCGGCAGTGATGTCAACAGTCATATCGGAAGTAATATGGTAGCTAAACGCAAAAACCATTTGGTGTATGGCTACCATACTTTTCCGATAACGAGACATTCTAGATCAATCTCTCTACTGTTGGCGACATCTGCTGAGAAATCCCAAGACCGAACGCAAGCACATAAAAGTAATGCACTCTAAGGATGCGTTCGAAATCTGGGAAGTGACGGATTTCATTCCTCAATGCGTGTCCCAGCGTTCCCCATGCTGTTTGTTCCGCCATCTATTGCCATGTTTCGCATTCGCACTTCATGAATTCACCACCCCGCCAAGTAGGTTGGTATCAAGTTGGTATAGGTGTCGCATTGCTCTGGTCGATTAGGCTAAGCCAGCTGTCTGGAGAGTGGAGCCGATCCAAAAAACGCAGAAATTCAAAACACCGACTCCAAAGCAATGGCAATTGGCAGCATGCATATCATTAGAGCGTAATTCTGTCGTGATTGCGTCAGAAGCAAACATAATGGCAAGAGTTTCTTGTGTGTCGGTAGGCGCGTGTGGAGTCGCTGGACCGACCGAGGACGTACCCAAGGGGGGACGGACGGGGTGCGCCTCCCCCTAGGGGTTTTCAGGGCCCATGCTGGCAGAAGGCCAACGTTGGCCAAAATCACGTCGGAGACGAACGAAATTCATGGGAATCCCCCAAAAAATCACGTCAGGACTCAGGACAATCAAGGCTCTCCGACTCGCCTGCCACCTAGGGCCCTTCAATTTACTGCGTGGGGCCTCCTGTGAATAACCGCTAGTGTCTGTGTCTGACCACTAGGACCCTGGACCCCTCTGACTCCTCGGGTAGAGGGCCCTCTGTAGGTAGGAGGCTCTCTCTACGGGATTCCTCCGCTCCCCCCCCCCTCGGCCAAATTCTAGGTTATACGTGCCTGCGCTAAGCCGGGGTCGGAGAGAGTTGACGACCGAATGACAAGCGAGTACTCGTCCTGAAAGTAAACATTTGGAATATAAACAATCCAAAGCTGTTCAGTATTTATATCATTCGAGAGCAGTGCCTTCAATTTGGATACACTTAGCATTCATTTCCCACACCCGTGTACACTCCACGAAGGCTTCTCCGCTGCGGACTCCCGCTTCCGCCGATGCGTCAGTTCTGTTATGGTCGGTAGTGGCGATTAACACGGCGATATCCTTGGAGCGACACAGGACGACCGAAACACGATGGCGGCGACCATGGAACTGTTTATTTTTTATGTGCTTCCATATGACCGGGGGGTGAGACCAAATGAAGGGAAAGGAAAACGTGCCCCATCACAACACCCCCCCTCAAGACGCATGCGTCGGTACAAGATACGCATTGCGTCTAACACATAAACAAAAATGTACACCACACACGGTGTGGACGCACGAACTCAGTCGTACGTCTGGTCCGCCCAGCGCACGGTCAGTCGGGCCGGACGGCGACGGCGGCGCGTCCCACGGCGCACTGAGCTGGGGTCGTCGGCGCTGTTCCGCAGCACCGGTGGTGCCGGCTGTCCGCCCGCCGGCGCAGCGGCGGCGGTCTCCTCCGTGCCGTCGGGTGCCGAGCTCGGAGCGAGCTGCTGCCGGCGCCCGGGTGCAGGTGTGGCGGCGCCCTCCGAGATGAGAGATCTCTGGGGTCGCAGATAGCGCTGGTTCCGCCAGTAGACTCGGCCACTGGGCAGCCGGACCAGGTAGTCGCGCCGCTGCCCGACCGCCGTGATGACGCCGACGCGGTCCCACAGCCCCGACCGCGGGTCTTGGACGAGCACACGCTGACCCATGGTGAGCGCGCTGTGCTGGCGGGCTGTCGTGTCGTACCGCTCGGCTGTTTCCTGTTGCTGCGCGGCGGCCCTGGCGTCACAGTCGTCCGCCGCCCGCTGCCAGCAGTCGGCGAAGGCCCGGTGGTGCGCCGGCACTGCCGATCTCAGCGGGTGGCCGAACAGGACCTGAGCCGGAGAGCGGCCGTCGGCGCGCGGCGTGTTGCGCAGCTCCAGCAGCCCCTGCGCGTAGGCGTCCGTGTCGAGCTCGCCGCTGCTGGTCGCCTTCTGGATGAGCCGTTTGGCGGCCTTGACCGCCGACTCGGCGTGCCCATTAGACTGAGGGTAGTGCGGTGTAGAGATCTGGTGCTCCACTCCCCAGCGGCGCAGAAACTCTCGGGTGAGCCGGGCGGTGAACTGGTGTCCACCGTCTGTCCGGAGGGTGGTGGGCACACCGGTGGCCGCGAATATCTGGCGCAGGCTGCAGACCAGGTCTCTGGCAGTCGCCTCGCCGGCCACGTGCGACACAAACGGCCACCCGGACAGCCGGTCCGCGTATACCAGGAACGTGCGGCCGGCCCAGGCGAAGTAGTCAGCGGAGACAGCCTCAAGCACTCGTGATGGCGTCTTTTCCGGCATCAGCGGCTCCTTCTGCTGACTGGGCAGGTACTGCTGGCAGGCCGGGCACGCTCCGACATGGTTCGCAATGTCACTGTCCAGGAACGGCCAGTAGACTACCTGCCGCGCGCGGCGTTTGGTGCGCTCGACGCCCTGGTGACTGGCGTGCAAGCGCTCGAGCGTGGCGCGCCGCAGACTGGGCGGTATCACGAGCCGCTGGCCGCACACCACCAGGCCGTCGTCCACGGCCAGCCGGTCCCGAACTCCCCAGTACGGTCGGAGGCGCGGGTCCAGCTGTGACCGGTGCTCTGGAAACCCGTTCAGGATCAGGTCAGTGACTGCGATGAGCTCCGGATCGGCGGCGGCGGCGGCGCGCACCTCTGTCAGCGCCGCGTCTTTGAACGGGCTGGGACCGTCGTCCGCCCCGTCGGTGGCCAGCCGTGAGAGCACGCTGGCGAGCTGATGGCTGGCGTCCCTCTCGGCTTCCTCGTCCTCAGGCGCCGGGTCATCCACCGGCGCGCGCGACAGCGCGTCCGGGATGGCGTGCAGCTTGCCTTGCCGCCAGATGGCGAGCAGGTTGAACGGCGCCAGCCGTTCTCGTAGCCGCTGGAGCCGCGGATTTTCGATCTCCGCAAGGCTCTTACTGTTGAGGATCGGGATGAGCGGCCGGTGATCGGTCAGGACTTCAAACCGCTGCATCCCGCCGAGATAGATGCTGCATTTCTTGCAGGCCCAGGCCAGGGCCAGCAGCTCCAACTCGATCACGGCGTACCGCGACTCGGCGTCCGATAGGAAGCGTGAGCCGCACTGGATCAGTCGCCACCGGCCTGCGGCGTCTTGCTGCAGCAGGAAGTAGCCCAGGCCGCCGGAGCGAGCGGCGTCAGTCTCAAGGACTGTGCGGCGGCGAGGGTCGAAGAAGTCGAGCACGGGAGGCGACGTGAGTGCCATCTTCACCGCGCTGAACGCCTGCTCGTGCGCTGGCGTCCACAGCCACGCGTTCCGCGGCCGCAGCAGCTGTCTCAGCGGCTAGGCGGCGGCGGCGACCTCTGGGGAGAAGGCGCCGAGCTGGGTCACCAGGCCGAGGAACGACCGTAGGTCGGTGATGTTGCCCGGCCTGGGGAAGGCCTGGATGGCACGGACTTTCTTGCCGTCGGCGGTATAGCCAGCCGAATTGATGCGAAAGCCGCAGAATTCGACCTCGTCTTCCGCGAACTGACATTTGTCCGGGTTGAGTGTGATACCGTGCTGGTCACACCTTAGCAGAATCTGCCGCACGTGCTGCAGGTGGGCGGCGTAGTCAGCGTCATAGGCCAGGACGTCGTCCACGACCTTACACGTGCGCGGGATGTCGCCGAGCGCGGCGTCACCGCGCTGGTTGTACACGTCGCCAGAGCTGACGATTCCCATTGGAGCCCTCAGGTACCGGTAGCGGCCCCACGGCGTGATAAAACACGTCAGGTCTCGTCTCTGTCTTCTGGCCGGATGGGGACCTGGTGGTACCCCGCCTTGCTGTCCAGCTTGGTGAAGTACGCAGCGCCGGGTGAGACGAAGGCGAGTGCGTCTTGAGGCGAGCGGACCGGGTACGTCGGTCGCTTCACGAACCGGTTCAGTTTCGTGAAGTCCACGGTCAGCCGACAGCCGGACACTGTGCCGTCTGACGACCCCTTGGCCACAGGAACGATCGGATGACACCAGTCTGTGGGGTGCTCCACCGGCTCGATGATGTCCTTTTCCATCAGCTCGTCGAGTTGCAGTCGCACGTCCTCTCGCCAACAGAACGGGATATTCCGGGCGGTGGTCACAGCGTGAGGGACGGCGTCGTCCGTCAGCTCGATCTTCATCGGCTCCCCCGTCATCTTCCGCAGGGTCGACTCCGTATCGAAGACCCTCGGGAACTCGGCTTTCAATTTGTCGAAATCTGCCCGCCGCTGCCGTGCGGAGGGGGTGCCACCGGCGGCCGGGCGGCGGCGCGCGCGTAGGGCCGGGCGGCGGCGCCCGCCCGGTCGGGTCGGCGCCGGCCGAGCTGGCGGCCGGCCGGTCGGCGGCAGAGACGCGGCTTATGTCCCGGGTCTCCTCAGGTGCCGCCGTCGTGCCGCTGCAGCGCCGTAGTGCGGGCTGTCTGCCGGCGGCGGGGGCCTCAGGCGGCTCGCCGGGCGGCGGCGGCTCCGGTGCCCCACCGTCCGTCCCAGTCTCGGCTGCCGAGCCGCGCTGGCAAATCTGCCGGGGAAAGCTCGCCGGTAGAATTCCCAGGCCGATACAATCGTGCCACGACAGCAGTGGTGAGTGCAGTGCTCGCAGAACGGACACCTGCACGGTCTGTATGACGTCACCGAGCTGCAGGGTGAGGGCGCACGTGCCCACACAGTCCAGCCGGCGGCTGTCGGCGGCCCACAGCACAGCCGTGGAGGGCGTGAGGTCCGCTCTGCTCACTCCCATGGACTCGGCTTGTTGCAGTGAGAGGGCTGATATCTCGGCGCCTGTGTCGGGCGTCCATACGGTCGTCCGCCTGACTCCGTTTGGCAGG